ATTTTTTATAGGAATTTGGAGACTTTATTGAATTTTTGTTTTTTATTACCTGCAATTAAACGGAATTTTATAATAATATGTGATTGATATTATTTTCTAATAATGAGTTAAATAAAAAGATATTACGTTTTCTTTTTAACAAATGCGAATATTTTATACTCTAGTCTTACATTTTTTGGTAGATAATTTAAATAACACTGTGGTCAGTTTAATCGCAAAAAAGGGTAAACAAATTGAAAAAAGTGACTTCTACAGAACATTTTATAAAAAAATCACCAGAGCAATATTCGCCTACACTTAACATTTTGGTCGGATACGTCAGTTTATTGGTTGGAGAATATTATTTGCAAGAAATTTTCGATGATTAGAATCTCAGGTAGCAATTGTGTTTAGACATAGGAGATTCCCGAATGAAGCCATTTCATTGTGTTTATTGAAGCATACATATATCGTTTGCTTGTTACATTCCTGTAGCTAATTTTATTGCAATCCGGAAAATTTAACTAGTCATTTATTGACATAAATTTAGATTTATGTCGCTGATATTAAATACAAAGTTAGTGGATGTGTTGACATTCCTATGTTAGTGAATAATTTAAGCACAAATATCGTTTCGTACCATACATTCCATGCCGTTGAATACAATACTTATTTTATTTTTAGTGAAACTGCTTTAAATACATTTGAAAGGTGTTCGACAAACCCGCTTGGACATGCAATAATTGGCATAAAAAGGTTCGCAGTCGTTTCCAATTTCGGTTAAAAGCTGCAAAGTGCCTCTAAAATGCATTAGACACTGCAGATTGCCACTAACAAGACCGTGGCATATATTAATTAGCTGCCAGTACACTTGATTACCTTCGCTAAGAGGTTTCGAGACAAAGATTGATTTAGGGTTTCCCGAAAATTGGGGACCAAAACAAAATCTTTGTGTAGCGCGATTAAAAAATCTCAAGTTAGAAATTGGGTTTGCGAACAATTTACTCGTTATATTGTAAATTACTGTGTAATTTCCGGGATTAAATTTGACAAACTTTGCTTCGATTCGAATTACTAGACTCATCAAAAGTGGGAGAATAGCCGCTTTGGGCTTAAAAAGTTCGACACCTAAGCCCAACTTTGTCTCTTGCATGAAATTAATAATGAATCGATAATTCAGTCTTTGAGCTTGTATGATGGATATTTCAATTTTTATTTCTGGTTCTGTGTTCAACCTCAGCCACAACGTGGGTTATAATCTCATGATGAGAAATTCCCAAGTTTGATGTAACTTACACTAACATTCATTAAGCGTCATTATGTTGGAGAACTTACCACTTAACAATTTTACTCAGACATACTCCGTAAATTACGAAATAGATTGTTTTCGCTACAATGACATTGGATAGTATGAATAAAATGTAGCCAAAGCTTTTGCTTTTTTATCTCTTTCTTTCTTTAAAATCTAAATCACGTCTATCTTTTACTATTACAAGTAGAAGCATTTACTTAACTTTATTCATACGGCCCATTATTGCTTGGCGAAAAAAGTTAAGCTAAGAAAAATGATGACATTAGGATAATCTTCACCGAAATGAGAGAAATTTCCATTTATTAAGCAGTGAGAAAATATGAATCATATTACTCAAGAAAAAAATTAAGTACAGCTATTACTTGCGGTTTTACTAATAGTTTAAATCAATACGAACTAACAAATTCGTCCGCTGTAATACTTTGCTACTATTTGGGAAATTGATCTGATGGAAAAAAAAAGAAAATTGTAGCTTTCTGTCAATAAAATGTGCAAATAAAACAAATAGGAATTGATTTATAATGATGTTTTTAATGTTGATTGACGTGTTTTATAAAAAAAGTTGGACTTTTGGTTTAGACAGAAAATAAAACTACGCACTGTGTTCTATGAGAAAACAATCAGTTTTAGTGTTTGGACATGTTTATATCTGTATTTATACAAAAAAGAATTTTGAAAAATGTTGTTATTTATAAGTGCAGTGAGTTCAATTTTACAGGGTGTGGTTTTAATATTGAAGCACTAAGCGATTGTTTTAATAAAACTGAACGCTGTACTAGTTGTTTACGGATTCAGGGCTGTTAAGAAGGCCATAATGACCGAGGGAGTTGTTTGAGGTCTAACGAAGGACAGCCTTAACTCTCCCGTGGTCGTTATGGCCCTTATCAGCACGTGGTACGTACACCGTTCTTCGTCGTACTAAATTACTATAGGGTTAAAAAATAATAATTTTCAAATGTAATAAATTGTCGATATATAAATGTTTTAATTGTCGAAAATCTGGGCGTTAAAAAAGCGGGCTGTTAAAACCTCTTAACAGCCCTGTGTTCTATTGAAAGCTTAAAATTTTGGTGTTATTTTTCCGCATGGGGTGCGCTAAACTTCACAAATGCCTTGTAAAATAAAATACTAAAATACTGTAGCTGTCAAAGTTGTGTAAACTTGTCAAATACAGTTGATATTAAATTCATATTTTTATTTCAATTGATATTTTTAATTTTTCAATCCTAGAGTTTAATATTTTGCACTGTACCACAAAAGATATTAAAAAATAAGCTACCTGGATGCAGTGCAAAATCTGAAAAATGCAGTTTTGACAATTTTGGATAATAGTGAGAAAGAAAAGGAAAAGTAAAATAGTTACCTATCCATAGTTTGTAAAAAACAAAGAAATTTCTTTTCATTATTTTTTACTTGATTATCTAGTTGAAAGAAAATACAGGGTGAGCCAGAACTTGAGCCCCAGAGAAAATTTTCAAGAAAGGTAAGATACCAGGAACATGAAAAAAATGTTTATAAAATTCTATGTGTAAAAAAATTTTGACCATTTGATATTTTTTTATATCTATTTAAGCATACTGATGATCTTGTATATGTTTTTTTTCCAATTATTTAGTAAAGGGACAAAAATTTTGCCAATAAAAGCCACAAATAACATTGAACACAGTTACAATTTAGGATACAACTTCCTTGTTTCCTCTTTTAATAGCCTATAGCAAAAAAAACTTGAAAAAATATTTTTCCAACAGAAATAAATAGAGTCAAAGTGCAAATTTTAGATCCTCATAACTTCGAAATTTTTATAGATAAATTTTTTTTAACATTTTTTTCATGTTCCTGGTATCTTACCTTATATGGCATTTTACTCTGGGGCGTGAATTCTGGTGCAGCCTGTATACATATAAATTACATGTTTATTCGTTATTGTAAACTGAATCAAAATTCCTGCGAAAATTAAGTTACAACATTAGCTGGTGATGTTACTAAAATATTTTGTAATCAAAATTTATTATTCTTTGTCAACCAATATCTTGCTAACAAATAAATTAATAACAAGACTCCACCACGACAGCAAGTTAATCAAGCGGCCGATTTATCATCTCTCAAGTCAGAAGGAATGTTGTTTTACTGAACCTGAAACTCGTTTAATGACACTTCATTCTACTATATTTCCTCAATATTCAAATATCGAGAAAAAGCATTTTGACAGCGACCCAATTCAAATCGAATAAAGTTTGCTGATGACATTCTTTTACAGATATCCCGGAAATGATCTACGTGACGACAATACCCACTGTTGATGAAGTAGACACCGTGCTTTTAACCCAATGCGCCCCGACTTGGTCCACTGAAACAGACACGATTTTCTTTATATTGAAAATGGTCCTCTTCTATTTGATTCCACTATTCTTCATGTCGATCGCCTATCTGCAAATAATCCGGGTGTTGTGGAAATCCGGTAACGTTCCTCATCAAATAATAGGTGAGTTGTGAATGTTTTCTGGGCAGTCTTTAAGATCCTTCAACATTGAGATAGCTGTGGCTTCAGGAAACAATTAGCGCAATTATCCGAGATTCCAAATATCAACAAAACTAGATTCGGGTTAGAATAGTACGGATAAAACAAAACAATGTTAGTTGTGCCACAAACTTAAGTTTCGTCTTTCCGTGATGATAAATAATAAAACGGGTCTTTTCTGTTATTGTCTCGAGTAACAACGAGCAAATTTACGATGTAAATCAAGGAAATACACGACGTCTTTAAATCTGCTCTAATTTAACGCTAAGCGTAAAAAATGCTTCCCATCATTCGTGTTTTTTATATTAACAGTATTTATAAAAATCTTAATTTGTGTTGATTTTTCCATCTTTAAAGATTTTAGAAAAGCTTTAAGTAACTGTAAAGGCATAGAATGGAGATAAGAACAGTTCGGACAAATGACTAGGAATAATGATCATGCCATGAGTCAACGTTATTAAACCTATTATTTGAGGATGTAATAAATTGGAAGATTTGGAAAATATTGAAATTGGCAATAAATTCCAACTTCAAAACAGTTGGAGTTTTCTTAAATTTTTTCATTTCATTTCATTTTTCATTTCTTTACTTTCTACATTTTATCATTTTTATTTTATTTCTGAAAATTCTATTCGTTTATAGCATGACTGAAAAAGCACGTGTAAAAGATTAATATGTGTAAGAGGTTGTGAGGTGTTTTCAGATTTCGTTTAATTTTATTTTCTGAAAGAATTGTTAAAAAAATGAATAAATTACAAAAGAAAGATTCAAAAAATATTTTTCCTTGGGTTCTAAAGTAGATAAAATCCTTTTGAAGGCGCATTTTTATTACGATGCAATGCCGCGACGACCAGTAGAAACGGGACATCAAAAGAACCGAGTTGAGATAATTGTCGGCCTCGTAAATTTTTTATATAACATGCAAAGTCTTCCATAATATAGCATATAAAAGGCGCAAAGAAAGTCGTTTCATAAAAGACATTCTGCGCGAGGATTAAAACTTTACCGATTATTAACGAGGCTTATACTTTATTTAAAACTTTTTGTCCTTTTCGATTTTGTGGCAGTATCTGGTTGAAAATAACGTATTTTATATTTATTTCCGAGGCGAGTCGAGCATCATCAAATAAGTGAAATATCAAAGTAGGTATGTCTATTGTGCCATATCAAATTCCGACGATATAAAATAACAATAAAGATGTCTCATAAACTCAAAACATGACGTCTAATATTACCTTGGATAAATCGAGCGATAAATTTATTACAGTGACTGTATTTTCAAGACGTCGTGTGCGGAATACGAGTTAAAATAAGAAAATCACGGCAAAAATTGCGTGTATGAACGTTTTCATGCGAAAGTTAAAAAAAAAAATTATTATTATTATTACAATATGTGTTACTACATTAACAAAATGTTTACATACGTCAAAACTCCGTTCAGTAGTGATGGAATTTACATTTTGACAAAATTATAGTTTAAAAATTCATCCAGAGATGAATATCCACTAAATCGCCAGACCTGAAATGAAATTTATTTCCGAAAAGAATATTTCATTAACTCTTTGTTTTTACTCGTATTTTTGGCGAGTTTATACCTGGAAACGCCCTGTAGATCAGACGCATTCACCCAAAAATTTTGCTGAGTTGTAATGTTTCGGGATTTGCAATATTTTGACACAGAAAAACCGTCACCAGAGGGTGAAAATATTTCATCAAAAGCAGGGTAATAGTTTTCAAGTTTTGAAAGACACTTTTCACCACGTTACTACACAATTATTCCGGAAATGTAAATTAATTGTTTTATTTCAGTGACTTCTCAGATAAATGGCCGCACCTAGCTAAATAAATCTTGGCTCTTATTATTAATTAATTAAAAATCAAATTTATTATTATCAGATTTTAATATATACACGCAGCATGAAGTTTATTTGTTTTTTGGCTGAAACATTTAATTATTATTAATATCACCTATTTAATTTTATTTGTACACAACTACATTGTCTATCTGAATACAAATTTTGTAGAAAAAAAACAGCCGTTAAACTGCAAGTTTAGTACTCATTAATAATTAACTTCATTAATAATTATTATATCAACAACAAAAATAAGTTTATAATTAAGTTTGTGTGCAGTGACAGCGTTATTGAATAATTATTTTAACAAAATCAAACAAATACTAGTTATTATCATCAAACGATTAGAAACTGCTTGACTTTCACCCTACATGCAAGACGAAAACGTAAAACAGGAAACGTATTCCTAATTTGTATTCGTATATTGAAAATTTTGTAAAACTTACCAAATTTTGATCTGATCCGTGATTTTAAAGACGCTGCACAGCATTTATCTCGAAACATTTGGACCAGATTCACCATACGCTAGCTTAAAATCTCCGTACTTTGCTATATTATTTGTAAACATCAGCATCGTATCACAAAAATGTTTTTTCTCCTGAACATACTTATTTTACTGGACTTTTAATAAGAGAAATTAATCGAGAGAAAGTAATACTGATCAAATTCGGATATTAATAAAACTGTGGGCTCTCTCTACCCCATTCGAAACTCGTAAAAAACTCTCAAATTTAAGTTGTACATCATTTTGCAGACAAGAACGTACACTGACTTTTACCTACAGATGGACTTGTACTTGTCCGTTTTATTATGAGTGTATGGCTGCGGAAACAAAAAAAATCGTCGTTGTATGTGATCTAAAGTGTGACATTGTTTATAGCAATTCTTATATTCTGCGATTTAACAAATGATGGAGTTATTTTAGTACATTATTAACACATGAGAAAATAAGAAAGACTTAAGTTATTAATGCAGAACACATACAAGTATTCGCCCGGCGCATCCACCAGAGTTTTTGCCGTAAAGTGTATTTGTTTATTACGTATTAAATTTTTGGTAATAATGAAATTTTTTCGCTTTATGGAGCTATTATTATGTAGAAATTATTCGTAATTCAAGAACGTTGAGTTTCGCAGCGTGATAATTTAATTAGTGTTTACAATATTGCCTGGGGACAAATTTTGTTGAAATATTTGCAACAAAACATTTCTATAAATTAAGACTTAATTTATTAGTGTTGACATTTTCAATTGCAATTGAGCGTAAAGATTTCAAGCACCGCTTGCTTATTTCAGAACTTAACCAACAACTTTATTTATTTTATTAACTGGGAAAATAATTTTACCTTCAGTCACTAATTAACAAATTTTTAAAAGCTTAAACGTAAAATTTTCTTTTGAATTAAATCTTTTTCAACTTCTTGTTCAAATGTCCTCAAAGTTATTCAAAAGAAAATAATTTGCTTGTATACAGTGCAAGGTAAAAAAATAATAAATTCAAAAATTTTCAATACGACGTTAAAAAAGCAATTGAATAGATCACCCTGAATGGATGCGAATTTTATGCTCCCATATCAAATAATATTCAAGAATAACGAAATATTTTCCGCAAGAATCCAGCGAGTCAGAAAAAGAAAACATCGACATTGCTCGCGATATATTCGACAAACGGTAGGTTTCAAGATTACTTCCAGAATAAAAGTTAATATGGAATATTCAAAAGTTTGGACCATCTTTTGAGTGGTGATAAAGGACATCCAACTGAGTTTAGAGTATCAAAGGTTAGATTTTGGGTTCAGTTTTTTGCCGTTCAGATCACGTATTTTTAAATTTAGTTAGCGGAAACGACAGATCTTGCAACAGTACACAGATATTTGATGAAAAAATCACCAATTTGTGTCTTATGGTGTACAAAACATTTAACAAATTATCAAATTCAACAATAAATTAAATCCGACAATATCAGAAACAAAAGAGATAAGGTGCCTACATGTATACTACCATGTAGGCACCTTATCTCTTTCTCTCAAATTGTCTCTTCTCTTTTTCTCCGAAACCAAAACGTAAGAAAAACTCTACATTAATTTTTATGCTTAGCTGAAAGTCTTTTGTCACAATTTGAGAATTGGTCCGACACTTTTGATCACCCTGTATTTAAATTATTGATTACCTAATTATCCTTTTATAATGGTTATCATTAATTTCGTATAAAATCACCGATAAGTACAAACATACTATGTACTTGTATGTCCGAGAAAATCGGAAGTGCTCAAATAACATATTACTACCTTAGTAACATTTTATGACAGTAGGAGCAACCGTTCGCGAAAAGTCGGTTAAATTAAGGATCAGCGAAATTCTGAACTTCACACAACTAAAACAAGCAGTTTAAAACAACATTACATCAAGCGTTAAATTTCAAACAACTTTGGGATAAAGTGCCACACGGCTATCAAAATGCCATAAAGTGAATTAACGATCGAACAAATTACACGACTAGTAAAAAAATACGACGCAGAAGTGCCGATAAAGTCTTATTACGTAGAGTTGTTCGCAGCCGATTTAAGTTTTTCATTTTATTTCCTTGAAAAATTAAATAGGCTAAAAAATCTACGTTTAAGTACCAGATTTGCATGCTAATGGTTTTTAGGCACCGATGTTGCGTGTAGATGCGTGAAATTGAAACTTTGTTTATAATTTGTAAATTAGATAAGATAAAACAAACTTTTGAGGGGAAAAATAGTGAAAAGTCAAAAAATATGTGAACACTTTGGTTATTTACGAGGGTTGTTTGGTATGTCTGGTAAAAAACTATGACCACGTGCGTCAATTAATTTGGCGAACCGCAAGTGAGATATGTCATCTTTCAGAGTAAGTCTGTCAAAGTTTCAACAAAAAGTGACGCCTGGTTGAAAAATTATGGAACTTTAAAAATAAGTTGTTTGAACAAATTTTGAGAATCGAAAAAAACGAATTTCGCGCTGTGATAAAACATTTTTATTTAAAAAAATGGACACCCGCTCAGGTAAAAAAAAATAGAGCAAGTACATTGAGACTCTGCACCTTCGTTAAAAACTATCTATTTCTGGATAAACGAATTTAAACGGGGTCAAACATCCACCCAAGATGAAGCGCGATGTGGGCGCTCTGTCGACGTCACGACTTCACAAATTGTGGAAAAAAATCCACAAAATTGTCTTGGAAGACCGCCGGGTGAAAGTTAGGGAAGTTGCTGAAATTGTAGGCATCTCTACTAAACGGGTACACTTTGTTTTTCATGAAAAATTGCATATGAAAAAAATTGTGCAAGATGGGTGCCGCGATTGTTGACTGGGCACCAAATGCGTACCCGAAGGGAAATTTCAACACTCGCTGAATTATTATTTGAATTAGTTCAGAATTCACCCTACTCACCAGATTTAGCACCGTGTGACTTCTACTTACATCCAAATCTAAAAATTGTGCTTGGTGAAGAGAGATTTCATTTAAACAAAGACACCATACTGTGGTGAATGAATATTTTGCAGCACTCGAAAAGTCCTTTTTTTCCTATGGGTTAAAAAAAATTGAAAGTTGTTGAATGAAGTGCATAGATCTTTATGAAGATTATATTGCAAAATAAAAATTATTGTTATCAAAATTTTTGTCTTTAACTAGGAATTTTACCACATTTATCAAACAACCCTCGTAAGTTTTTGAAAATATCAAGAACTATAAGGCTATACGTACATCGATCACCAAAGAAATACAGAACGATCTCATGCCCATGCCTATTTTCAACGGTTTATACCTAGACTAGAAACAGAAATAAAATTTAAAAATGTTGTAAGAAATGAAAAATTAATAAACAAATTCTTCTTTATCAAAAAAGGTACCCATTTTCATTTCTGATGTCTAGTTTTCTATTAAAAAGTTATATTTTTGTAAGTCCATTTTATTCATTTTTTGCCTTTTTGATTTAATACAATTTTAGTTTAATTTAAAACTCCCTTGCTTTTTCAAAAGTATCTTAAGAATTATAATGATTACGTATGATCCATCACAAGTCGTGTGTACACTAAAAAGGTCGTTTCGATTTCAGATGCGTCCGGGGGTGGTGGTCGGCAGGCCAACACGTTCGCCATGAACATGAACGCCAGCACTGAAGGACAACTGCGGTCGCGGCGAAAAGCTGCTAAGATGCTCGTAGCTGTCGTCGTTATGTTTGCTTTCTGCTATTTTCCCGTACATCTGCTCTCTATCTTAAGGTAAGGGGCTTTGTCCTGATGAGACTTGACAGGACCAACGGCTGGATAAACGCCGCTCGACTCGATGGACTGAATCGGATTGGGGAGGAACATATGACATGTTGAAAATAGAATCGGGAATGCTGTGTTTGTGGCCTGAGGGCTACTGAAATAAGAGCAACGTGCCACGAACAAAAACGTAATTTGCAAAATTGTCAATATTGAATTTTTCGGCCAAGAGGGTCGGGAAAGGCTGACAGATTTTATGATCGAATCATAAATACACAAATTGGATTTAATGACATGTAAAAATGCTGGCGACATCGGCCAAAAAAAATCCATTAAGCGAAAGAGAAAATTGGGATTGCAATAACAACCACCTAGACTGAATGAGAGGCGTAAGAGGAAAACACGGAAATAAAATAAAATTTATTGATTTGCATATCTAAGAAAATTTTAACTTCTAAACGGAAATTCATGCATGCTGCAAATGAAAAAAACCATTATTTAACCTTTTTTACATTTATGACCACATGAAATGAATCAAATGTGTCGTAAACATGAATTGCAAATGGTAATGTATTCAGCAAAGACTGCTTAACACTATTATCGTTAAACCGTGAAACCTGGGAAAATTTAATTTTTACGATACCTCTTCAGGACAGAATGTTTAAAACAGAAAAATTTTAAAGTCAAAAAATTCGTATAAGTATTTCGAAAGGTTTTTATCAAATTTTGCATTAAATATTTTATTTCGAAAATATTGTTGCAAAACTCTTTTAATAATATACGAACTTTGTGAAATGGAAATTTGATGAAATGAAACTCTGTAAGAAAAAAAAGAATTTCTGCAAATTGAAGCACACCTGAATTTCCATGATAATTCATACCACAAAATGTGGTTATGTCCTTACTGTATCAAAAAAAAATCTACTCCTACAAATTACTAAAATCTGAACATACCTATACAAATTATTGTTGCGTTGCATATTACAAAATAAATGCGTTCTAGCTAATAATCCACTTCACTTGTGGAGCAGTGTACCTACTTATTTGACCAATAAAATTGCCCTTTTCAAGTGTCCAAAGCAAGTTCTGCCTTGTTATTTGAATTTTTTCTTATTATTTGCTTTAACGAAAATTAACCAAAATGTATTCGGAAGAAGCAGTATGGTAGCCTCATCAACGCCTTTTTTCAAACATATCTCAAATAACACAATTAGTTCTTTTTATGTATTGCGGCATGACTCGGGGAATAAAAATATCCTATTGATTCAGGTTTTGCCATGCAAATTTGTCATTACCATAAAACCAAACTAATTTCGTTTCCTTTGTGGTGTTAAGAGTTAATCAGAAAATGTAACGATTACAAGAACGAAGCAGTCCCCGAGGTATATATTTCATTTACCTTAAATTGGTTTCATGTGTCTTTGGATGAAGAGAGAAAAAATAGATGAACAGAACGGACCGTACGGATGATAATTAAGCTTTTTCAAGACGATCGATTAAAGCGGCTGTTTTACAAATCCTGGGTTTGCCATTTTGTAAAGGACTGTGAAGGATGCCACATAGCCTCACCATGTAGGATGATTTTAATTGTTATGCAGAAATTTTAAGAAGTGATAGTAGAGGACAAAGTATGTGAAAATGGCTCGAATTGCCTTATCCGAATGTTTATGCATATAAAATGTTTTAGTCGTCGAATAACTTTAAATTTGGCTTGCAACTTCTTTAAATTCACAAACAAAAATTTAAAACAAATATGATCTTTGAGATCATTAATTCAAAATTTATTACATTTAACAAAAATCGAGTTAATAACAGTTTTTTTTTTTTAATTTGGCATCTTACTTGGCTTCAAATGTCAAATTAATAATTTTCAATTCGATGGTTCGTTCACAATTAAACTTTCATGGCTAACTTTGACGCCAAATTAAAAAAAAATACATTATTAGTATAAATAGACACAAAAAAGTGCACTCATATTGAAAAAAATAATGAAGTTTTGACATCACATTTTTTTGTTGGATATCATTATCTCAAATGTCATCGTCTATCAGCAACGTAAACTTTGGACTAAAATAATAGAACCATACAAATTTTGTTTCTACTGCGTTTTTTTAACGAATTTTCTGATGCTAAAATACAGGTTGTACCCTTTATATTTCAGAAACTATAAACATTCGGATAAGAAAAGTTGTGTTATTTTGACTTCTTTAGACCTGTACTACAAGTATCAGCTCTTGAAATTTCTACACAACTTTTAAAATCAGCTTGTAGGTATAAACTTTTGAGTGAAATTTTACATTGTTCCAGGAAAACTGTTGGTTTGAAAAACACGGACGGCAACCGGGCGTTTTCTTTGATATCACACTGGTTGTGTTATGCCAACAGCGCCGTTAACCCCATCATTTACAACTTCATGAGCGGTAAGTACTTAAATAACCTTCTCACAATCAAACTAGGAAAACGTGCACTCTCCAACCGCTGAAACCTACTTATTCGTGAAAAGAGCTCAGAGCTATTAATTGTGAACGGTGTTTTGCGGCTTTGTTGTGAGATCAAAGCACGCTTTAGTGGTCATATTAAAGGACTCAATTGGAAAAACTTGCAGCGACGCCAAACAAGTTTTACGCGGCATCGCTATGTAAATACTGTTTTCGATCAAAAATAGAAAATTGAATCCTGCGAGTAACTAGAATGGCCGCTTCCGCAGATCTAATTATACGTCTTGACACGACCAAAGGGTCGTTAAGGAAACCGGGTCACACGTAAAAGATTTCATTTACCAAAGACTGAAGCCGGAAAATACACATCTGTGCTCCGAAATGCAACAAAAAATTATTAGCTTTGCGAAGCTGTGAATAAAAAGAAATAAAAAGTAGGTACATACTCGTACATACGTATAAGAATAAGAGAAAGGAAAACACCATTAAGCCATCTATGCACAAATTTGTTTTTTTAATTATGCAATGAAATGCAACTGCAAAGAGATAAGATAAAGAGTGTTTTTAAAAAAAATAATTTGGAAACCATCTTCACAAAAATGAATCATCCCAGTATCAAATAGAATTAAAAGTTAAGAACATTTTAATATTGACAAATTCAATTTAGATAGAAATTTCAGGTTGGATGTTTGAAAATCGACGCTTTTCGTCTGAGAGCTTAGCCTACGGGTTTAAGTGCATCATGTTAGAAAGTTCAGTACAGTTCACACTGCTAAACTCTTTCCACCGAGTAATTGCTGAAATAAAAGTACTAGACACTGCGCACTAAAGAGTAGTACAGGGTGTGGGATGGGACAGCCCGAAATGAAACATAATAGACTCTGTTCTCACTTATTTGTAGAAGTACTATACTTAATTTCTTAGTGGATTGTATTTACATTGAGTGCAAGACTACCACTACTGTGTCTACCCTTAAGAGGAGTTTGTGCTCTTATTGACTAGAAGTTACAAACACCAAGTCAAATAAGCTATTTTATTTTAAAATGTATTACCTACTTCACATTCTGAATAGAAAAATGTTAAAGTTTAAGTTGTCGTGAATAGTCAAATAACAATAGTGCACATAGAGGATATCTGAGGAAAATGCTGATCCCTTAAAATGTTCGTTAACTAATACACCAACAAAAACGGTTATTATCGACGTTAAACAAAAAACAACCGCGTTCCAGTGATTTCAGTGTTTTTGTCTATAGATATTTAATTTTAAAAAGTCATATCTTTTTTTGGGAAATCTATACAGGGAGCGCCACAACTCGCGCCCCAGAGAAAAATGCCATGTAAGGTAAGATACCAGGAACATGGAAAAAATGTTGCAAAAATTCTATGTGCATAAAAAGTTATGAAAGTTTAAATTTCGCACCTTGACTATATTTATTTATTTTATAAACGAGTGTTATACGCTATTTTTTATTATATCTGCCCATTTACGATCTTTTATGAGCAATGAAAAAATGTGAATTTACACAATAAAATTATCAAAGGTTGTTTGTGAATCGTTTTCGTAAAGACGGTTACTAGTTTACGTTGTTAATCACATTTTTTCACGTTGTAATTGGTCCAGACATTTCACTATTTCTTGTTACTTAACTTTAAATTTTCAGCGTGCTATAAAGGCAAAATTACGCACGCTGCAGCGTGTTTTAATATAGGATTATGATGCAGGTATAATAAAAAAAAACATATACAAATCATCAGTATCAGTAAACAGACATAGAAAATGTCAAATGTCAAAATAGAATTTTTTGAACATTTTTTTCAGGTTCCTGATATCTTTCTTAAAATTTTCTTCTGGGGCGCGAGTTCTGACACAGCCTATATGTAACTACATTTATACTTAATTAAAATTTCATAGGTATAATTGGAACAAATTCTGAATTGTTATCCTTTTATATCAAGGAGTAACATCCTGTTTGTTAAACGCTTATGCTTCCAGTTACCATCAAGGAAAATGCACTCTAAATTTGATCCGCGAATTCTAGAACACTCTGTATTAACTTAGGGTTTTACAACAGAAAATAGATTCTTGAAAATAATTACTTCCGAATAAAATAAAAATGTTATGCTTCGACTGCACTAGTTTGCAAAAATTACTTTACTTTACTACAACTAATTCTCTATGGCTGTGCATAGAAGGTTACTGTTGTTTTGAAGAGTTAATTTTAGCAGTTTTCAACCTTTCGCTTCCTCTTAAACTTCGGTCAAAGTGATCTCCAGGCCGGCTGAAATTCTCTTGAAAAAATGTGCCAAACTTGAAACTAATTGTCTTTTCTGAATGCAGGCAAATTCCGAAAAGAATTCCATCGCGCTTTCGAGCACTGTTGCCAGCGGTCGGGCGGCCATGGATTCCAATTTAGCGCCGTGTATCGCAAAACGGAAAAGGACTCAGGAATTGCCTCACGAACCCATTCGAGGACCGACCTGGAGATACAGCGTGTGACCGATTTCGAACCGAGACATAACAGGAAAGGGACAAAGACTAGCATGTTACTAGTGGAAACCTAAAATAATTCGAATCATATCAAAGCGCGTGTGGAGGCGAATGCTCACTTTACTAAAGGACAATCAGGAGAAAACAGTCCGCTGTGATATATAAATTTGGTGAAATTCGACGTGCTCTCGGAAGCGTTTTGAACGATTCCGACTGTGTAATACATTCATTTTTGTTTTAGACCAGAGTAAGCTATTTATTGTCATTAGGCCACAGTCTTACCATACAACTAGCCAAATTTCCATAACCTACTTTGGTCTAAAACAAAAATAAAGGTATTATACACGACTCACTTTCTGTATCAAAATGAATGTTGTTACTTTTAAAACTCTGACGGGGGAATAATAAACGCTGAAACTTGTAAATTAATGTTGACCAAGTGATGTTTTATGTAGTAGACTGTCAATAAATAGTGTTAAGTTACAATGTGTTTTTCTTTGTTTCAGGAAAATTTAGGAGAGAGTTTCGATCGTCTTTCATCAAATGTACGCCAGCGAACGAAGCCTCTGATATAACCATGCGTAACAGTACTTGTATTTATCGTTTCACGACCACTCATCATAGCTACAGGTCACGTAGCGAGATTATTCCGCTAAATTCCATACAAAGCGCTAAAATTACAAGCCATCATGCTGTAGACTAGGCTCTTTTCAAAGTGCACCACTTTGTATGTTTAAGAGTTTTCAGTTCCAAGCAACAGTGTAAGAGGAATAAAACAAATTCACTTAAAAAATTTAGTTTATTGTTTTAATTACATAACAAATTAAATATAGTAATAGTTACAATATTGACTGATCCATTCTTTCATACTGGCGATATAAAAGAAAGGCGTTTCTGGTAATCACACAACTATTAGCGGCGCTTTAGTATCTAAATTATTAAGAATAAAATAAGTAAGTTAGTAGGATAAATCAAATAAACGTCCACTAAATAAAGCAAATCGCCACAAAAATGGTCCCACTGATACCCATTTAACGCAAAAAATAAGACAAAAAATTACCTCAAGAAAAAATAATTTTGCAATTTATGGCAACATAACGCAATTACGTATTGTGATTTACCACAATAATTCAACTCCGGAACTGGCGATTTCCGGGGCCGCTTCATAAATTAATCTTTTATACAAAAATATGAACAAATTAAACAAACACAATAACCCTAATGTCAGTCATTAGTCAGTTTTGGAATAAGTTAATCTTATAATTAATTAAAGTCTAAAAGGCTCCCGTTCCTTTGTTGTTTTCTTCGCTTGGCCGGTTGGTGTGTCGGACGCTCCCGATGGTTTGCGTAAAAGGCGCGAAGCGGCAGTTTGTTGGCCGGGAGGAACGGGGGTGTTAGACCCGGATGGTGTTCGTGTCCTAAAACCACACAATTGCTCAAAACCGGTTTTCGGGCCAATTAACACAGCTACGTCTCGACGCTAGCGTGAAAACAAAACGCTAGCGTATAAATTGCGGTTACTACGTTAAAAGATGAGTGTGGTGTTAATTACCTAGCCGCCGTCCTTAGCGTTGGAGCGTTACCGATTGTCACTTGTCGTGGTTTGCTTGTACTCCTAGTTAACACATTATACACATGCTAGTTAGTTTGTTACAAAGTCATCGAAATAAATATAATATATAACAGCAAAAAATCACAATACGGACGTGCACGAAAACAATTCGAACAAAAAAATCCATGCTGGTGTTATTACCTAATCGGTATTTTCGATCTGCTCGATCTACTCGCCGACGATTTCGTTCTTGTTAGTATGTATCAAAAGAAGACAAGTTAGTATTACAAAAAACAGACAAACGAACAAGAAAGATGTGTGAAACGACACAAAATGAAAATGTGAAGAAAAAACATGCACATCACAAATTTACCCTGAAGATAAAGACATAGAGCAAGAGCTTGACGTTGAGGGAGACTCGAGATCAGTGTCACCAATTCCTTTGTACACAGGTATGCGAGACCTGGTACAATGTAAAAAAATCGAATGAAAACAAGTCGCAAAAGACGCGAGGGCGGCCAACCAGTTTTTTGTTAATTCTTTTGTTACAAATTTTATTTATTTCAAAAATGATACCTTAATTATCGGCACAAGCGTCCTCTTGAGGCTTAAGCCTGAAGGGTTTTTGCACCTTTCCTTGCTTTGGTGTTCTGAAATTTCGAATCTAAATATTTAAAGTCGAAGTTACGCGTTTGGTTACCCATTAAATAAGTTGGCTACCCTGTATAATAAAAGCACCCAAACCGACTGAACAAACATTACCCCCTGACCAAAAAAATTCAAATTTTATTTTATTTTGTTTACCTTGGAGTGGTAACTGATGTTAGTGTTGGTATACTTGATGCTCGGGGAATGCCTGATGATCTACCAAGGTTAGAACATGCCGATATTAGTTTTGTCTTTAGTTACAATGGCGAGAAAATTAATCACTTCATCAATTCAACAATTGTAATTAAATAATGTGCCACCAAATTATTTATTCCACTGAGTCGGGCATTCATCTTTTCTACCAAGACACCTAAATTAAGTAGGAAACCTAGTTTACAGTCAACAATTTCAATCGATCAAGAATACGTTTGTGATGTTTCAGAGTGAAATTGATGAGTTTGTTAACGGGAGAGATTAACAGTGTAGATATTTCAATGTCGCGAACGCGTGGATTGTGGAGATTACAAATCACCTATTTACAAACGACTGGGTTACAAAATTTTTGCGTTGATCGTAGTTTAGAGAAAACCAATACTACAAAATTAAAAATGAAACATATAAATGGTCTTACACCTAGAAAGAAAAGATAAACCGAAAATGTACGCAAATCTTTAATTTTTTTCCTAATTGCTTCTTTCAAATTGGTAACAAAAATAATAAAAAAAACATACCTACAGACAAAATTAGTACCAGTTTTCAGTTTTAATTAATTATATTTTTTTTAATATCGAAATTGTTAGTTTTTGCAAAAATGCTACATTTGTTATTTTTAAAACTTGTAAACCAGGTTCCCCTGAAACTTGCCCAAAACTCTACTCAAAATTATTTTAACTCACTTTCCGGCTGGACTAGCTGGCGAAATTAAACCTGTGGGGGTCCTCGGCCTGGATCCGGTACCATTCTGGGGTCTCCTCAAAGATGAGGTCGTTGATGTTACCCGACTTGACGTTGGAGTCCTTCGTGGAATCCTCGACGGGGTACCATCATCTACGCAAACCAATAAACAAAAAATCACTTACTCCTGGAAAACGTACCTGTACTATCTAGAGAAAGATTAGAACCGTGTCTCGATGGTGGTTTACTGCCAGGCCTGCTGCCAGTTCGCGACGCCGGACGTGAGTTCGACCTAGACCCTCCTGGAGTCATCGTTGATCTGTAAGAAGGTTTTCTCGGCGTCCGGAAAGTAGAACTTTCGTTGTCTGATAACGAATCGGGGGTTCCCGCAGATAAAGACGATTTGGAAGTACGCGGAAGGCTGCCCATTGGTACCGATCTTGCGGAACGCTCTCGTACCTAAATAGGAAAAGTTTTTTAATAAAAATGTATGTTTGAAAAGGTACCAGTTGTTGGTCATGGGCCAACAATTGATACAAAGTCGTGCATTCACAAAAAAAGGATCTTCGTGTTTGATAAAAGTGAAAATGCTACCTTAACGAGTGTGTGATTAAAAAATGTAAAAGTTGAAGATCCTTGATTGCATAACAAACTTCTTACTTACAGTTTCTTGTCTTACCTCATCCGGTAACGTTAAAACGATCTTAATAAAAATTTGGCCGGTTTTTGAAATTTGGAAAGAAAGACCAAAAGTAATAAGCGATCTATTCGTCTTACCTGAGATATACCTACCATCGGCACTTGGGATAGGTACAAAAGTTTGTGGTGATCTTTTTCCGGCCCGATAACAGCGACTGGTATCAAAAAAACAAGAAAAAACGGTACCATTGAAATTCGACTCGATATAACGACAAATGATTTTGCAAAAAAAACGAGGGAAGAAACGAATACACCATGCACATGCACAAAGTGTCTGTGTGTATTATTACCCAGTGACAAGTGTTGTTGATATTGAGAGGAGCCCAGTGTAAGGTGGGTCCAGCAGTAGAACCAACATGCAAAGGGTACGCATTGCCCACTTCTCCTTTGGCCCTCAGCTGCTCGAATATGGGCATCAACTCCGCCAAGTGTTCGTGAGCTAAACAATAGCACATGCCAACATTCAGAAATATACAGCGTGTCCGAAATAATCCAATAGATCAAGTGATCATCGCGTTTAAATGGTGCGAACAGAAAAAAAAGAAGCATTGAGTGCTGGATGAACGTGATGCGATTTTGTTTTATGCTTCGACCCTTGTTGTCGCGTTTACAAAAATCATCTCCTGAGGTCCGACTTACCTTTGGCTCTTTGGTGACAATCTACTGTACTATACATATACAAGCATACCATTACCAAGACGTAGAGCAACTCGAAAAAAGCACTGAAAACAATACTCCACAACCGACTAGGACGAGGACAAGGATAGTATTTTCGATGCTTTTTCCGGATCAAAGAGGGTGCTCTTGTGCAATACCTTAGTGATTGGCCCCTGAGGAGTGCGGAGTGATGATGCAGAGGAGCCAGAGGCGGGACTGGAGGCCGATGTTTTGGGCTTGAACGCGGTCATAGTTTGCGATACGCCGTCGGCTAGGATGAATTGTTCACGCAGCTCTATGTTCGTGCGTCCTTTGGCTGTGTGAGGAATTTCAGGACGAGGAAAAGGAAGTCGTTAAGTAACAGAAAACAAGTTAGTGCGGTAGAGGACACGTGGGAGGAAAAAAAACAAAAACAAAATAAGCAAAAATACTAAAAAATAAATAAAAAGGTAAATGCACTAATTGCTAAAACGGGAAGAGAGATCGTCCCATGTGCATATAATACAGTGAAAACAATACTATAGTCTAATAAAATTGGCAACAAAACACAACGAGAAGTGGTCCAATCAAATTAGGCATATTTTTTCGACTTCCAAAAAATTACAAAAAATAAAAAAATCAAATAAAACAGAAATACAAAGAAGGAAGTTACTAAATGCTATAACATTTGCGAGTATTGGAAAACTAATTTAATTTTTGCTGGTTAAGACCAAGAATCAAAAAATTTTATATTCTAATGTCGTATTCAGAATAAACAAATTTTCAATATTTTTTTATCCTCTAAATGAAAATATTTTTTTCATGTGTAACTAAGTATTGTAATTTTTTGAAATCGAATTCTAATTCAATGGACGAAAATAAATATGTAAATAAAAATCGTGTACATTGTTGTTAATAATTAAAAATCATGCATCCAAAATTAAACCAAACTTCGTCACCATGTTACAACACGTGCGTTCGCTTACCGAGGGGGCACCAAGGCTCGTGCTGATCAGGTATGTCGGGATGAGGTAACGGTAAAACCAACGTAACTTATAATTGACGCCACAATGATTCAAAAGTTAAAAAAAATCGTAATAAGCGCAAATTAACGATTATTAAAAATGGGATGTGTTAGAACGGGAAGAAAAACAAAAAGTCCCATTAGTATCACACTGACATATAACCACAAAGACTCGCTTTGTGACGAAAACATGATAAAAGAATAAACAAAGCATAATGATGTCCTCAGGAGACAAGTTAGCAGTTATTTTATTAGATGTTGCGTTAATAACTTGTATGTCGCAATAAGGGACAAAGCATGGTAATGAGTGATGTGTAATTTTGTTTCAATAAAATTTTGATTAAAGTTTTTGGTTTTGTGATTGGTAAACACTCACCTCGGCATGGATCGTTTTTGAGTAAGAACTCGTCTAGAGCTACCCAACCGCCTCCTACGCGCACCATTACGGTGCTACGTAAGATACGGACTAGACGCAGTTTTTGGCTTTCACCAAACTGTAAGAAAAACGTGAGTACGACTCTGGAGTAAATCTTCTAAAACTCACTCTATATTTGCCTTCGCCGACCTGGAACACTCGGAATTTCTGCCGGCAAGTACACAACATCACCAACCTCTTGACCTCATCGTGGATCTTCTGAGCGTCAGTATCGACCGGTTTCTCCTCCCAGTCGGGTCGCAGAGCTGCTATAAACTTCTTCCAGTCAATCAAACCCCGATTGTCTTGGTCAAACATATCCGCAACGTGATTCATTTCAAGTCGGGAAGTATCAAACTCTAGAAAACGCACACCGATATTTTGGTAAATCTCAAATTAGCCGCTCGACCTACTTGTTTTGATAATTCCTTCGATAAAATCGTCTCTCGGTATAAGTTCGTTGTTATCCTTGTCCATTTTCCTGAACAAGTCGGTCAATCGCGACTTCTTGTAGTTCATAAACTTCAAGAAGCGTTTCCTCCAGTCATCCCAAGAGAAGTTGTCCGCTCTTTCCTTCTCTTTGAGATAAGCAAGATGGTCGTAAAGTTGGCGCTGTCGTTCCCACGACAACATCCAAACATGGCGCCACTTATCGTACAAAAACTTGACACGTGGCGATCGGAATTCGGGTTCGCTAAATAAAAAAACAAAATGGAGACGAGTTTTGATTGGCGGATGATAAAAATGAGATGTATTGAGTTTTGTGTACGATATTTATGTTTGGTGTTAGTCCCATGATCGAGTGAATGAGAAATGTACCTGCCAGATGGGAATCTTGGCCCAATATGTGGTAATTGAGGATCCGGACTCAGTTCCCGACCAGGACTGGAACGGCTGTTGACAAAGCACATGCAACACTCAACAAATCAAAAACTAAAAATACGGCCTACAAACTCAAACAAAGAAAATTAAAAATTAATATGTTTGGTTTGTCGACTCAAGTTAATCAATAACTCGCGAAGGGTTTTGATAAATACCAGTAGTAAGTTTTTAACCACGTACGTCGTCAATTAGCTTAACTATTTTTTTGTATTTATCAAAACCGCCTCGTAAATAAAAAAAATTAGTCACACTTGTATCGCAAACAAATAAATTAGTAACAAACACACGGAAGACGAAAGTGTTAAATGTGTAAAAAAAGAGGCTAACCTTCCACGGTGCGCAAGCAAGTCTCTCGATCCTTTGAAGCTAGAAAAGCAAATTTTGGTCAAACACAAGCACAAACACAGTGACGTTTCAGCAAACATACCTTTGTTTGCGGCCAAGAGAGCCGTAGCTATCGGGTGAAGGTTCACGAATGTCATGCTGTGATCCCCGACTGGTGAAAAACAAAGCAACACAAGAACACAAATTAAACATGCAACATAAAGCAGTGATAAAACACAAACAAGTGCAAGTATTAGACCACACAAAAGAAATACTTACATCGGTCCTTTGCCCTTAACGAATTTCTTGGGTTCTTTAGCGTTCGTTGGCTTGATCTGTTTGGCTTTACAAACTCTATCGACTTCACCTTGACGTTTCTGCGTATTCTCCATGAATTCTTTATGGTCAGCGATTAACTGCTCAGTAGCGGGGATGTCCATGGGTAACTCCTCACGTTTTAAAGCGATAAGCGTATTCTCCAAACCCAACAACCACTTAATGAGTTCTTCGAGACACTCGTCAAGGTCTCGTAACGAGTTCATATGAGCGGTGAGTTTCTGGTGGCGTTGCAAGGCCCATTGGGACACTTCCTCCCACCGGGATTGTATAACCTTGATCCAGTTCTTGATAACATTGATCGCGTCAGGATGGGCTTTTGCCAAAACGTTTTGAGCGAGATCAAGAGTGTGATTTTTCTCACGTTCTTTATCTTTGAGTTCCGCTCGGAACCTATCCAAAGCTTGAAGCTGTTCGTAAGCTGTCGCTTCATCCTCAGGGGTACTTCCAACGAATCGCAGTTGTCTCTCGGCTTCGGATAACCAGTCAAGAAGCATATGAACCGATTTGTGAAGACGTTCGGCTTCGCGTAGAGCTTCATCGAGTCGGTCTGACCTAATTCGAGTCAATTTTGTAACGGAATTCCACAATTCGTTCAATTCAGTCAACTGAGATCTAATTTGCGTGGCATCTGAACGGTTTGCTTTACGCTCAAGGTCTGTCCCGGTTCGTATAACCGACTCCATTTGCTCGTTACGTCTCTCCAACTCCTTTTCGAACTGTTTATGTAAATCTACAAGGTGGTTAACTGTATCCAAGTCGCCATGAACAGGACTATCGACTGATAATTCCTTCTCAACTTTCTTCAACCACTGCAAAAGCGCAGCGATAGCATCCTTAAACTGACCCGAATACAACAACGCCTCTTCAAGCTTTCTTTGTCTGTCCACACTCTTATTACAAACTGCTGTCCACTTTGCCTTGAGGTCACTCATCATCTGTCTGATCGTCGTCTCATCACTCTTCGGTGCTTTCTCTTTAAGAACTTTACCAGTTTTCATGACATGATCGTAAGTACCTTGTTTAGCAGAAAGGTTTCTTTGGAACTCCTGGTGTTTATGGAGTCGGCTTTTGATCGCTTCAGGGTCATTCCCGACTGATTCAGACAAAAGCCGGTCTAGTGAGTCTTCAGTTTCGTTTAACCAAGACATAAGACTCGACCAGCCATCGTGAAACTCTTTCGCTTCTTTGTAACCCAAGTCCAAAGCTCGGGTTCGTTCGGCCGATTTTGATGCAACTCGTTCCCAGCGATGTTGAACGCTAACTAACAAATTCTTAATTAAAATAACATCTTGTTTCTGGCTGAAGTATTTCAAATGAGTGCCTTTTTTGTCGAGATCGAGCATAATTTCGCGGTGAGCACTAACATCCTTCTGGAATACTTTATGTTCTTCCATTTGAACTTGGATGATTTCGAGAACGCGCGAAACCGGTTTTAGGTTAGACAACATCTTCTCAGCGTTGGTTAACCATTCGACGAAGTTCTCAAGAGCCTCGTGAAATTCGGTGGCTTCTTTCAGAGCAATCTCGAGTTTGATTTTCTTGTCGTTGGCTCGAGACGTGACCGAATCCCAACGCTGTTTCAAGGTACGTAAATTGTGTTGAAGGTTAGATGCGGCATTTGAACCCTTTTTCAGATACTCTTGTCCTTGAGCTAATACTGTTTCAACTTTCGGTCTATTATCCTCAATTTCGTTGTAAATCTCCATGAAACGTTCTAATTGTTCACTTGCTGTTTCCGGAAGACCTCCTACCGGCTTACTTGCAGTTATAATACCGTCAACATCACATAGCCATGATAGTAAGTCTTGTATTTCTGCATTGAACTTCTGAGCTTCATTGAGAGAATCCTCAAGTTCGCGTTGACGGTCAGCAGCTTTCCGCATCAAAGCCCTCCATTGGGTATTAAGAGTGTTAAGCTTATCCTGAGTGATGGAAGCCTCATCTGAACCTTCTCCAGTTTCAATAATTTGTCTTCCCGCATCATTCAAAGTATCAACACTCGTCTGGTGGGCTTGTATATCATTAACCAAGACTTTAAGTTTTGCCAACTCGATTTCTAAAATTTGTGGATCTCCTTGAACAGGTTTCAGCTCATCTAAAGTCTTATCAGTCTTGCTGATCCAAACTAGGAGCTCGTTGAGGGCATGTTGGAACTGACCAAGACGCAACAAAGCATTCTCGAGTTGTCTTTGCCGTTCTACAATGCCTCTCAACAAGTCATCCCAACGTTTGTTGACTCCAGACAGTGGTTCCTTGATTGCGGCCGCTTGGTCAGCGGAGGTGCGCTCGGTGAGCTCTTGTGCTTGCCTAAATAAAAAGCAAAATTAAAACTAATCGTGGCAAAACCAAACAATTGCAATAGACGGCAATTGTTTGGTAAAAGATGGGCGGTAAGCGAGGGGTTGCGTAAGCAGAAGCTACACAGACTGGGCAAAAATCGCAAGCAATTAGCAAGAAAAGTGACTTCGAAGTCACTAAAACGAAGAAAAAATAGAAACTGAAGCATGCGACAAACGTTGCGTTAACACAAAGGCTTGCAATCAGAAATCTAAAGTATCCTTGCCTGATCAGACTCCTGTAGTCCAACGGGACAGAAAAATATAGAAAATAAACAAAATGTTAGTACTTGTTCTAAATTTGAAGCACATATAAAAGATCTTTTTTATATATAAATAACTAATTTCGAAAATTATAGTTTCTAATTACACTAATAACAGAAAAAAACTCACCTATTGAGAGCTTCAACTTTCACCATATGTGGATCAACTTCAGCTTTGAAGTTCTTTAATTGGTCAATTTGCCTCTTCACTGCGTCGATATCCGTACCCAACGGTCCCATCTTGGCAAACTTCTTCTCCGCTTTGTCCAAGAATGCCAACAAATTCTGGAATGGTACCATCAAATAACTCTTAAACCCACCCATCTCTAGTACAAACCTGAAGCGTCTCATGAAACTCCATCGCTTTCTCCATGGCATCGATCAAATTCTCTTCCCGCTTGGCATACAACGCCGTAATATTATCCCAGGCATTATCCAAATCCTCGATATGTTTCTTCACTTCTGGTTTATCCGGCTCGCCGCACAATCGCATCAAATCCTTTCCGGAAGCTCTTACTTGATCGACTTCTGGTTTGGTTTGATCAATCTCGTGTCTGATCTCTTGCAAAGCGACTTGTTGTTCTTGAATTGCTTTAGGTTCCACAGCTGGCGGTTCTTGACTCACGAGAGAATCCTCCAGGTCCTTGAGAGTCGCCATAATGGCGTGCAACTCTTTCCAGAATTTTTGGGCGGCATCAAGGGTATCATCCAGTGAGCGGCCACGATTATTTGTAGCCTTTTGTACATCATCCCATAAGTTTTTAAGTTTGTCGAGTTTGCGTTTAATATCTTTAATGGCGGGATCCGATCGGTTAGGAGCTTTGTTTATGACGTCGTCAGCAGCGCGTTGGACTGCTGCATAAGCCTCTTTGCGCTTGTCTAAGTCGCTGATGAGAGCGTCGTTGTCTTCGATTTGGTCCTTGATTTTCGGGACGTGAGCCGAGATGGGTTCAAGATTGTTCACTTGATCAGCAGTGTTGGAAAGGGCACGTAACATGCCTTCGAGTTTGTCAGTAAATTGAGAACTTTCTTGAAGAGCTTGTTCGAGGGCTTGTTGGCGTTCACGTAACTCTAATTTTAAAGCGGCATATCGCGCGTTGTCGCTATCCAGCAAATCTTGCACCTTTGAGCCATCATCATCATTGCACAACCGGATAAGAGCCTCGCCCGTTTTGTTAAGCTTGTCGACTAGAGGCTTATGGTCATTTATACTCTGAATAAACATTTCATTCCGGTCTTGTTGTTGGGCGATCAAATCAGGTCTCATAGCTGGCATTGCTAACATCGAGATTTGTTCCTCAATATCAGACAACCAATTGGATAGAACGTTATGAGTGTCATGGAAGTGTTCAGCCAATGGTAATGCTTGTTCTAAAATACCTAACCTGTCCGAACTTAATGCTGAAACTGTGTCCATTGTCTCGCGTAAATCTTCCATCTTTTCGCGAATGAGTGAAGTGTCCTCACTTGGGGGACTCTCCCTGAGTACTTTCTTCGCAGTAGAGAGCACATCTCTGACTCTACCTTTCTGACTAGAAATATCGTCATTAAGAGCTTTGTGCTCTTTCAATTGGACACGGATCAAGTCAGGCTCAGCTGATGGTTTTTCCGCGTCTCTTATCTGACCTTCAACCTCGCGGAACCATTCAAGAAGTTCATCAATATCACCAGTCACCTCTAACGCTCTCTGTTTACCGAGATGGATTCTTTCGGCCCGACGTTGGATTTGCTCAGCGATAGCATCAAAACGCCTATTGTCACGCGTGACTAGCCCTTCGATTGTAGAGGCGCCCTCTCCAGGACTATTTTGACACAACTGAGGTCCTAGTAGATTAATATGTTCAAGAACCGGTCTTAATTCTTGCAAGTCGAGCTCCAATCGGGCGATATCACCCTCGTGAGGCTCCGCTGATTGAAGAACACTCTCGGCTCCTTGCATCCAATCGACCAATCGGTTATGGTTGTTGTGGAATTGTTTGACAAGAGGCAACATATCATCAGCGTGTTTGAGCAAATCGGCGCCTCGCGAAGTTAAATCGTTGTAGCGTCTTTGAAGCGAGTCAAGCTTGTCCTTGAGTTGGAGGGCCTCGTCAGATGAGATGTGACGCATGAGTTCGACACCTGCGTCTACGGTGCTATCCACGTCTTGTTGTCTGCTTGCGATTTCCTCAGTCAAAGCCTACAAAATATTAGTACGAAACATAAAATTTATAAATTCTTACTTACAGTTAGGTCGTCCATCTGTTCGAGAAGCTTGTCGGTATGAACAGCCAAAACCTTGAAACGACCTAATCTGTGTTCCATGCTGTCCATCCACGCAGCCAAATCTTGGTAAGTTAACACTAAGTGTCGCAAACCTTGCCTAGAGTCGGTTAACAGTTGCCCAATCCTTTCACTGGCGTCGACGAGATTGCCATATCGGTCGGTAACTTCTTGTAACTTATCGGCAAGTGTTGCAGCTTCGTCTTCGCCCACTAAACTCATCAAGTTCGACGCAATATCTGTCAATTCTCTAAAATCGGGTTTCTTGTCCAAAATGTCGTTATGTAAAGCCCCATGTTCGCGAATCTTTTGTTGGATCTTTTCCTCGTCGGTGGGGATGATTTCCATGTCTTTGACTTTCTTTTCGCTACGATCCAGCCAATCCTGTAACGGGATCAATTTGTCTTGGAATTCTTTAGCGACTTTCATTGCTTGTTCAAGGTCGAGTGTGCGTTGTTGGGCACTTTCAGTCAAAGCGTCAAAACGTCCCATCAAATTCTTAAGTTGTTTTTCAATCGCTTTGCGTTCCGCCGGTTCTGCTTCTTTGGCAATTTCATTCCCCATAGAAAATAGAGAAGACATGGAGTTTTGCCGGTCGAGGAGCATCTTTTTGAGAAACTTTTGTTCCTGTAATTGGGCTTTGACGACTTTATAGTCGGCAGATGGTGGTTTTTGATTAGCGACAAGTTCCTCAGTGTCGGTTAACCATTTGGCTAAACCATCCAAAGCTTCTTGGAACTTGCCCGATTGTAGTAACGCCACATCCAGGCGTCGTTCCCGATCGTTAAGCCGTTCTTTCAAATCGTTCCAATGTTCGTTCATCTTTTCCAAATCTTTCTCTAAAATTGCAGTATTGACACCAGAAGCGGCCGATTGGATCAAGCCTTGACCTACACGATTACAGTTCTCCACGGCTTTGGCTACTGGTTCGACCGTCTTGGCCCTAAACTTCTTGAAATCTTGTTGCTGGGCTCTTATACTGTCAACTTCCGACCCCACAGCTTTTAGTTTCCTCAATTGCTCAGACGCGTCGTGAATATCATCCAAAACATTAGCGTGCGACAAATAGAACTGTTCGAGTTTCTTGTGAATGTCCTCGAGACTTTGCTCGCGACTCCTAGCCCTGTCGTCAAGTTTTCCCAATTGTTTCCTTAAAGTTTCAACTTGTTGTCGCGTTTGTGCGGTATCTGGAGCAAAACCGCTATCCACCAACCGCTCACCGGCCGCTATAGCGTCATTCACATCATCCGTAGCTTTATTAATCTTGATCAAAAATCGGCCGATATCATCGATTTGTCCGCGTACTGTCTTCAAGTCTCTCCCAGGAGGTTTCATCTCATCTAATTCAGTTTCAAGCGCTGTCAAGTCATGAGACAAACCTTTAACTTGATCGTTAAATTGCGTCACTGCAGTCGCAGCCGATTGTAATTCGGAACATCGATCATCCAATTTGCCTGCAAGCTCGTCAATACGATCACCAAGACTGTCTACTTCGTCTTCAAGGTGATGGGCGTCTATCCCGTTCTGAGCCGCTTCACTTGCCAAGTCTTGGGCTTGCTGTTTGACTGTTTGGAGTGGTTTTCGCAATTTCGCGGTTTCTTCACGAAGAGCTTTGATGCGTTCAAGCAGTTTTGGGTCACGAGCAGCGCCTCCAAGAGCATCGTGAGAAGCGAGTTTATCTTCACAACGTTCTACTCCATGTTGTAACTCACGAACATTCTCGTTAAAGTCGACAAGTTTGCGGGATTGATCTTCAAGAGCTTGCGTACGCTCAATCAAGTCGTTGTTGAGTTTATCCCAACGTTCCTTCAAGTCGTTTAGTTCGTTCTTAACTACTTCTTTATCGACATCACAGGCCGAGACGAACGTATCGCCAAGGGTTCGCGTATTTTCGTATTCGCCCGACTTTTTCCAAACTTCGTTCCGGAAGGCTTGCAATTCCTTCAGTTGTTTCTCGATGTGTTTCCTTTGGAACGATGAAGGTCTCAAAGTGTCTAATTTATCTTCGGCTTGTCTCAACCACGGCAAGAAGCTTTCCAAAACTTTGTAATACTTGCGACAATGTTCTTTGCAAGTCTGAAGTCTTGTTTGACGATCAACGGTTTCCTTGCGTAGCTTCTCCCACTGCTGCTGAATCTTATCCAAATCACGCTGGAGTGACCTTGAATCATTTCGGTTGTTTCTAGCGAGCATGTCGCGGCCTTTGTTCAACAACATTATAACTTCATGTTCTCTGGCAAGGACATCTCTGTAAATAGGCTCGTGGTGAGCTAATTGTTGTTCCAAAACGTCTCTTATAGCCGAAATTAGCAGTTTTTCAGACAGTGATCCTAACTCGTCCGAAAGCCATCCAAGTGTCTTCGCACAGGAGGCTTCAAACTGGCGTCCATCACGTAATGATCCTTCAATTTCAGCTTTCTTGTGATCGAGTTTTTTCTGTAGGGCGTTATATTGTCTCCCAATTGATGCCAATTTGGCTTGAATATCAGCCCTTGATGCTGGATCACTCAACACATCGCAAAGTTGAGCACCTGCGGCCTCCAAATCAGTCAAAAGTGGTCTCTGACCTTCCAATTGTCTTTCTAAATTTTCTACTTTTCTCAATTGTTCTTCTGGATCTTTGTCAAGAGGAAGTTCGTCCAAATTATCCGAAATTCCTTGCAATGCGTCCCTCAAACGGGTCAATTGCGCATCAAACTCGCGACTGGTATCCGCCGCGGCTCCTAACGAATCTGCCCTTTCCTCCAACTTGCTCAAAAGATCAGCCCACCGTTGCTGGATATTTGCTAATTTGTTATTGACTTTTTGACCGTCGGGAGACCGTGGGTCTAGATAGGACAAAACTGAATCACCCACATCAATCAAGTGTTGGAGTTGAGGTTGCTGGGTGCGGAACTCTTCTCGCAAGACTTGGACTTGCTGAACTTGCGATTGTACCATACGGGAATCACTCGAAATGGGCCCCAATACTGTCAACATGCGATCTTTAGCCGACAACCAGGAAGAAAGCGAGTCATGAGTGTCGTGGAACTCTTTCATATCTTCCATAAACTTAATTCTGTTTTTGAGATGGTCGCTCACACTCTTCCAATGCGAAACGACATCTTCGAGTTCGTCGTTGAGGTTATCGGCACCGAGGGCGCCCGGTTTGCGTCTGAGTAAGTCTTTGACTTGGCTCTTGGTCGAGTCGAGGAGTGACTGTTTCTCGTACATCTCCTCCAAAGCTTGTTTGATTTGTCGGTTTAGTTTGTCGGCTTCATCTTTAGAAGCCGGGACTATGTCTTTCGGTAACTGTCGTTGGACTTTATCCAAGAAAGCACTAAGTGTCTTAAGACTATCTAAATGTTTCTTAACTTCATCTCTAATGGAATCGATTTCTGATTGCCGGTCGTTGATTTTGACTCCAAGAAGAGAATACCGATGATTTATTTCAGATAACTGTTGTTGAACTGGAGATAACTCCTCGAGATGAAAACCATCTTGACTTGATCGGCGTGACGAAAAACCACTTGAACCTCCTGGTGATAAAGGACTCAACCCTTTGCTCGGTGATGGTGAGCGGGTGTCTTGTGTCGGTCTGTAAGTGCGTTTAGTAGGACTATACACCTGATTTCGGCGTTTTGAAGGAGATTCAGGTCGGTCACCTCGGACCAAATTATCATAAGCCGTTCCGATGTCGTTGACTTTATCAATAGTAGACGAGTAGTCTTTATATTCCTTTGTAATCGGCTTGAGTTCTTCATTTTGCTTCTTTAAAATTTCTATATCAATGGCTACGACCTCAAGCCGTGCTATTCGTGCCTCAAATCGACTCAACCAATCACACACTTGCTGTCTCAACGCTTCATATGCATTCAATTGTTCAGCTCTCTGTTTCGACAATTTCTGCTTCTCATCTAAAAGACTACCAAGTTCGCGCCATTGATTCTCCATCGACTTGACCCGATCACGGACATTGGCAGTGTCCGTTGTGTCCCGTTTATTCAATAAATCTTTACCACACTTGATAACCTCTTCGAAAAGTGAACGTTTATCATCCCTATTAGTTGCAATCTCTTGCATACGAACAGCATACTCCTCAATTGATAGTTTGGCAAACTCACGCGATTCAATTATTTCGATAATACTGGCATGCCATTGCTCGAATTGCGAAGCTCCTGCCAAGAACGTAGTCAATCCCTTGTTAACTTCCTCAAGAAATTCGCCTCGTTTTTGCGCCCTATCAAACAGTTTCTCAAATCGGGCCTTAACGTCGTTTAGTTTAGTTTCGATCTTTTTGGCAACGCGAGCGTTGCTTGACGAAGCGATTAATTCATTTGCAGATAAGTAAACTGAATCAATTGAGGAGATATGAGTGTCTATGTCGGATTGGAAGACACGATGTTCGCGCAACTGCTCGTCTAGACGTTCTTTAATCAACGACGCCGGTCTTTGCATCGACTTAAACTGACTTTCAGCCGTGTTCAACCAATTCATTATACCATCAAGCGCGTCTTGGACTCCTTGCGACTGAACAAGTGCGGTGTCGAGCTCTTGGCACCGGTCAGCAAGTGCGTTACTCAACTGATTGTACTTTTGAGCAAGTTCAATGACAGGTTGCTCTAACCGCGACATCTCAGCCGGTGAAATCTGACCTTGGAGGGAGTTAAGGAGCGCATCGGTGACCTTTAATCAACTAATCAGACAAATACTACTAAATCTAACTCGACTTACCTGCTTCGCGTTATCAATTAAGCGTCCATTAGCCACAAACTCGTTATTAAGAGCTTTAGCTCGGTGTAGTTGTTCTTCGACAGCTTTAGGGTCTCCACCGATTGATTCGTCCAAGATTTTGATAGCTCGTGGCTCGGCCTCGCGGAGCCATTGCCTAGCTTTGTCTACGGCATCGCTATACTCACGTTGGCGCCCCCCTACACCCGAAAGCCGATCAGAGAGGTTATTAGCGCGATTCAAAAGATCGCGGTATTGTTGACCCACGAGGGAAACCTCGGTACGTACAGGCGAATCTTGAGAGGCTATTGGCTCAATGTGGTGTAAACGTGACGGGAGGGAAGTACGGAAATCGTTAAGAAGAGCCAAATATTCCTAAGTGGGTTGAATATAAAACAACGCGATTAGGTAAAGGTTCGACTTACCTTGCTTTCGTCGAAGAATTTCTGTGCCGACATATTAATAAAGCGGAGATCACCCTGATGGGCGATGACATCGCTGACAAACTCTTTAGTACTATCTGTACTTGAATCGAGCCTTTGCAAGTCGCTCAAAGCGCGTTCTTTGTCTTCGAGTATCCTCCTAGCCTTACCTAACCAATCGGAGAAAATATTGAGTTCTCCTTTGAGTTTAGTGAGTTCGTCTTTGGCTGAGAGGAGTTTCCTCAAGAGACGCTCAGTGCGATCAACGGCTTTATCATACCGTGTTTTCAAATTGCGACCATTCTTTTCAAGAGTCGAAACCTCACTCTTTGACAGAACATCACCCGCTGTTAACACTAACTGTCTTACTTGGTCGCCACAATGTGCGACCTGACTCGAATGCTGGTCTAAATCATCCCTAATTTGCTTCATTGTATTAATTTTGTTACGCAAATCTTCCTCAATTTCGTGAATAACGTCCTGTGATGCAATTTTATCTTCAACGTCTCCGATCCATTGCAGAAGTTTTGATAGAGTTTCGTCGCACAGTTTGTACTTTTCTTCGACCGCTTGCTGTAATGATCTCGAATTAGAAACCGAAGAATTAAGATTTGGCCTAATCTATCGGTAAGACAATCACAATTTGCGTGAATTGAGCATTCTGCAAGCTAAAAGTCCCTAAACCTAACACATGCATACAAGCGCACACACAAATGGTATGTTAGTGTAAATTCAGAAAAAAAAATGTTACCTATATGAAATAAAAAAAAATCAAACCTGAAATCAAATCAATTTAAACAAAATAACAGTAATAACGTGTTGTTGGGTTGGGAAAACCCACAATTGGTATTAGATGGTAGTAAAGGCTAAAGCTCGGCTTCGCCTAGTTTATGATATTAGAACGTGTCGATGATGGTGAAAGTTGTAGTCATTCGTTATTCTTTAGACTACCCGAGAGTCGTCTAAAGAATGATGGGTTAAATGGTCGGGACTAATATGCATTAGAGGCTCGTCTTAAATGCCTTGTAATGCACGAACAGAGTACCACCAAACAAGCTGCAAAAAATTTCATTTAGTTCTGTTTCATGATGCGACAATTACAAGGGAACAAAAATTTAAGCATGATTTTCAAGCTACTTCAAGCAACATCACCATAAGCAAAATCCGTGCGAAGCAACACGGATTCCAGTTAGAGCCGGTAAGACTCACCCTTTGTTCTGCAGGCAATATCAAACCCTTTTCATGTCCTTTAATAAAGTCGATGTCTTTATCGTCATCTCGTATCCTACCATCAACGGCATTTACGATCTTTAAGTCAATAGCGTGCAGAAGCGGCACGACGCCACCACTCTCTGGATCTTTCACTACAGTACTAGATGGATCTATGAGATTATCCGCGATTGCTTCAGTGAGAGTTAATCGCTTGCGATCGATAATTGACGTTGTAGTAAAGGGGCAAGTAAATCTTCCAGTCGTCGGATTGTACAAACCGTAAATCAGAGCTTCAATCAAGGTAAAACTCCGCGATGGTGTTATCAATAATCCGTTATCGATTGCAGTCGGGAGAGGGTACAGTTTCGAAGTGGAGCTATCAAGGACGTTGCCTTTGTCGGCATCGATCAGGCCTTTCCTGAAGCCTTCGGGAAGCTTAATCAACTTTTTCTTATTACCGTCTTTAATTAAAGCCGTGTCGGGGTCTATAAAACCCAAACTGAGGGAGTCTTTCAGTGACAGGACTTCTTTGGTCTGAGGATCGGTAAATTTGCCTGTAGTGACGTCGAGATGGTTCGATTCGATTGCTTGGAGGAAGGTTAAAGGTTCGTCAAGGTAAATAGGAGTGGTTTGGTCATAAGTGACAATGCGCGACTTGACTTTATCTTTTTGGGGTTCAAAAGTAATCAATTTGTTGATGTCCAAAAGTTTAGCATCAATTGCGTCTTGAACAGTTTTAAAACGACCGGTTTGTAAATCTTTAACTACCGCTCGGTTCGGTTCAATTAATTCGAATTTGATAGCAGCTTCAAGAGAGCATTCGCGAGTAGTTTTCGACGCTTTAATTGAATCTGTGACTGCCTTTTGCATCAGTTCTTCAACTAATGGTTTATCAAGTGTTACCAAAAGACCCTTATCTAACGCCACGTCGAAATTGTACGTCTGTTTCGATTTAGTATCAAGAACGCGACCTTTATCAGTATCAATTTTACCATCTTGGATGGCCAATGGTAAAGATTTAATAGTACCATTAAACGGATCTTTGAAAGCAGTAGTCGTGGGATCAATAAAATTATTGGCTAGCGCCTGCGACAAGTCATAAAACTCACCATTTATAGGATCTGCAAATTTGCCAGAGTCTGGACGATACAAGCCATTCCGAATTGCTTCCTCCAACGTCAAGTTACGTTTAACTGTTACGATCAAACCTTTCCGCTTAGCTTCAAACAAACTAATCGAATTACCGTTCGGCAAAACAAACTTACCTAATTCTGCTTCGACTAATTGTTTTTCGATTGCTTCAGGCAGGAAAATGTATTTGTTTTGTTTACTATTTTTGACTAGAGACGTTTCCGGATTAATTAATTCGTTATTACAAGCGTCTTTGAGAGTGAATTTACGACCGGTCGAAGGATGGACAAACATACCATCGTCTGGGTCGTATAAACCGAAATCAATAGCTTCATAGAGACCGAAATTAGCCGTCTCTATATCTACAATCAAGCCTTGGTCTAGTGCTTCAGTCAGTTTCATTGTTTCCTCAGTATAAGGATCTTTAAATGTGCCGTTGCGCTTATCTATAATCCCCAACCGGCAAGTGTCAGTTAAATTAACCAATTTCCCGCGTTTCTTATCAAAATATACAGGTAGTAAAGGATTTATTATAAATTTTCGGATGGCTTCGTGTAAGGTTATCTTCCGGTCGGTATGCGGGTCTATGATTTTACCGGTCGCTTCGTGATATAACCCTTGATGGATAGCTCGCTGTAAAGAAACCGCGGCTTTATTATCAACCAAAATCCCCAAATGGAATGCTTTCTGTAATGGAACTTCGCAACTTTCGTCTTGGGAGAAGTCTCTAACGTTACCGGTGTTACCATCAACGAAACCGTTATGTATAGCATCAATCAGAGGTATTTTACGCCAAACGCCCACCCGAGTATCTTTAATACTAACGGACTCCGCGTCAATTAAATTAATTTCGATAGCTTCAATAAGAGTTACGTAATTGCCAGTTTGAGGGTCGAGGAATAGTTGAGATTCTTCGTCGTATAATCCTTTGGCAATAGCTTCACTTAGAGGAATCGGAGGACCGACTTCGACCAATAATCCGCGCTCGAAAGCCTCGTTAAAGTCTATTGGTTCATGACGAGAGCTAATTACTACTCCCTCGACCGTATCAATGTAACCCTCCACCACAGCCTGTTCAAAAGTTACCAACTCTTCATCTATTGTTACAAGGGTCGAGGAAGTATCGACGTAGCCTCGATTGATAGCACTTTCCGCCCTTAACCGCTCTTTACTCTTCGGATTGATAAACTTGCCAGTGGTTGGATCATAAAAACCTTTAAAGACAGCTTCAGGTAAGGTTATCTGACTTTTATACGGTACAATCAAACCACGATCTTGCGCATCGTAAAAATTCATTTCAGTACTGGTCAAAGGATCGTAAGCTTGACCTTTGACCGGGTCTATAATTCGTAAACTTATTGCATCATTAAGTGTGATTATGTCACCAGAACGCGGGTCTTTAACTGTAAGGACATCAGGGTTAACAATTCCGCCTTCGATGGCTTGTACTAGTGTCACATTAGCATTATTTACAGTAAATTGACCGGTTTTCGGATTGTAAACTTTCTGCGCTAGAGTTTCTTGTAACGACCAAGGTAAGACGGTACTGAGGATATAACCTTTGAGATATGCTTGGTCGAGAGGCAAGGCAGGTTCGGTAAGAATGCCTTTTTCAGGATCGACTAAATTTATTTTAATTGCTTCTTTTAACTCAACGATCCTCCCGCGTTTATTATCCTTGATTCGAGTGGTCACTGGATCAACTAGTTTATACTCTATCGCTTTCTGTAAAGTAATTTGTTCACCTGTAAGTGGATTCAAAATGGCGCCTGATTTTGGTAAGTAATAATTCGATAAAAGTGCTTGAAGCAAATTAAACACTATAGGTTTACTACGAATTAATTGTTGGTCTAGTGCGATATTTAATGATATCAACTGGTCAGTCTTAGTGTCTTTTAGACGACCATCTTGCACAAGACTTAGTTTAAGTGCTTCGTCGAGAGGTACAAAAATTCCACGTTTTGTGTCTTTAACTTCGCTTAATTTATCATCTACGATTTGCCGATCGACAGCTTCAGCGACTATTAGTGATTGTTTAGTGATTGGATCAGTGATCATAGCTGTTTGAGGATCATACAGACCTTTATAAATCACTGCTTCCAGGGTTATAGGTCGTGGCAAAGCTCGTATAAAGCCGTGCAGAAACGCTTCAGAAAAAGTCATAGTTTTTTGAGTGGCAGTATTGAGGACTAGAGCTCGTTGAGGATCGACGATACTACGATCGATCGCTTCGTAGTATGGCACAAGTTGCATGTTTTTCTCATCACGGATCGTCACAGACTTGGGATCGATGATATTCGATGTTAAGGCTTTGCTAAGCGGCATTATTTGATTGTCTGATTTGACCTCGACCTTCACTGGGTCGAACTTGTCAGTCTCGGCGATTTCCTCAAGTGTCAGAGGTTGGTATTTCTGTTTTGGCTGGTCTTTAATGTCAATAATCCATCTCAGTTTCACTGCTTCAAAGAATGGTACCCTTTTGCCGGTTTTAGGATCTACCATATAACCGGTATTTTTGTCAATCAAAGGTCGATTTAAAGCTTCGTCTAGAGTAACATAAACAGGAGGTTTGCTTGTCAAATCTTTGACTAAGATAGTGTCAGGGTTGAAAAGGTCTAATTCGTACAGAAAAGCTTCAAATGTGATAGGTTCGCCGGTGTGTGGGTCAATAAACCGTCGCGATTTCAGATCGTAATACCCCAAGTCCGCCAACTTTTGAGGGGTTATGTCTTTAGAGATAATAAAAATAGAAACACTAGATTCGATAAAAATAACTAAATGTTTATTAACAATTTGAACAATATCACCAGGGTACAATTTATTCAACTTTAGACCCTCCTCCACACTATAAGGCAATTGTTTATCGTTGTGTATAACTCGACACTTGTCAGGCACTATTCTTCCTTCCTCAATCGCCTCACTCAAAGGTAACCTCAATCTGATCTCCTCAACTTCTTCGAGTTGATCTTCAATGACCGACTTTTTCGTCTTTACTTCTTCCTCGTCGACCTTTTTGATAATGGTAATCTCAACTTTTTGTCTCGGAGGTTCTTCCTCCTTTGTAGTTTCCACGTTTTGTATTACAGGTTCCTTTTTAGCCTTCTTTTCATCGGTATACTTTTTAACGGCTTTCACGGCGGCAGCCCCGGCCAAAACTGGAGCCACGACTGGCATAGCCAACCCACCCAACACCGCAATTAACCCTTTTTTCGTTGCTTCCTTAAAATCAATACTTTTGCCAGACTTTTGATCGCGCACTTTGCCGGTTTTAGGATCGATCAACCCTTTCTCTACAGCCTGTTCCACAGTAATAGGTTTTTGTGACGTAACATCATACACAACCGAATTTGGGTCAATGATCTCTTTCTTAATAGCTTCTTCAAAAGTCAGACTCTTTTGAGGATTGTTCGGATCATAAAATTTAGCCGATTTCTCATCGTAAATAGTATCAAACGCTTCCGCAATGTTCATTTCCGTTGTTTTAAAAGTAGAAGTATCTTCAACAGACGTGGCCAAAAGTTTACCCTCCTGAAGAGCCTCTTTAACTAATATTTTCTCTCCTGATTGAGGATCAATAAAAGTACCTGCATGCATATCAACCAAACCTCGATGCAAAGCATCCGAAAACGATATTACGTCTTTCACTGTCGTAGTGTTTTTCGTCTCTCCATCATTTGTTATTATGCCTCGCTTACGCGCTTCCTCAAATAATATTATTTCGCCAGTTTTCGTATTCAAGACTTCCCTTGCACTCACAAGAGCGTAACCGGATAACAGTTCAATTGTGCGCGTTGTAACTGTATGAATTGTATTGACTGTTTCCGTAACAGTGGTTACTGGTTGTGAACTAATACCCATAGAGTTATCCTTAATAACTAAAAGCCCTTTTTCTACCGCTTCCGCAACTGGAAACACTTCTCCACTTTTAGGATCTTTGAAAGTACCAGTTTTTAGATCAATCAACTTGCATTCTAGCGCATCCTCAACTTTGATGAATTCGGAACTAGTAGGGAAAGGCACCGACATTATAAACTCATCATCAATGGCGTTTTTTATCGGAATACGTTCTTTCGTAATCGGATGGACAATTTCCTTCTTATTTGGATCAACTAAACCGCGTTTTACAGCTACAGGAAACGTCATACCGGCCATCGGCAACTTTTCGGGACCAGAAGGCACACTATTATCAAATACTTTATCGTTAACAGCCTCTTGTAAATCTACACTACCTTTACGCGTCCTAACCGTTGATTTCGCATCGTTAACAACACCAGTTTCTATAGCTTGCTCTAAAGTGATTTTAGCACCAGTTTTCTCGGTTAGAGTACTTAACGGATCTACGATATCACAGACGATTGCTTCTCTAATACTTAAATGAGCACCAGTTTCTGGATGCACAACCTTTTGGCTGTCGGGGTCTATAAGGCCTTGATAAAATAACTCCGGAATAGATAAGCTACGATTCAGAGGTACCAACAACTGGTTAGTACCATCGGGGTCTAAAATACCACGAGCTATAGCTTCGTTGATGGTCAATTCGTCTCCTCGTTGAGGATCAATGATTTTTCCTTTATCCCCGTCGACATTTTTCGAGTCGAGAGCTTCCTGTAAAGTAAGACTATCACCACTCGGTGACATAAACGTCTCCTTCTTAGCCAATAACTCTGCAGTGTCTTCATCAATTATGCCTTTCTCAACTGCATCTTTGGGTTTCACAACCTTTCTACGCAGTTTCTGAAGAACGACCTTCTTGGCATCGCGGTCAGGACTCAACGATTGCACCCGCCCGATCGTTACTTTGTAAGTCGGTTCTACTGTAATCCTAGCTCGGGTTTTTTCAGCCTCGGAGGGCCCTTCATCATCAAAAGCCCCACTTTTTTCACTTTCGACCAAAGCCTGCGACTGCAGTTTGCCGTATTGATGTTGGTCGATAACTCCCCGTTGCAGAGCTTCATCAACCGGTACGTTTTTGCCCGTTTTTGGATCAACAACAAATGTTTTAACTGCTTTGACTAGAGGGTAGGTGGCAGCAACCGGTGCACCCACTACTGCAATAACACCGTATTTAGCAGCGTCACCTAAACTTATCTTATGACCCGATTTATTCGTATAATCGCCGGTATTTTTATCAACAATATTGCGTCTAATAGCCTCATCAATTGGCAAATCTTTACCAGTGTGTGGGTCTTTTACTGTGATGGAGGTTGCCGGAATGGTTTTTTCTTGAATTGCGGTTAGAAGAGACGAGGCTTGTTTTGTCTGAGGACACACAACAAGGGCATTTGCCGGATCATAAATAATACCAGGTGCCACCTCGACTGGCAGTGTGTCTTTTATTTCTGAAGTTTTGACCTCAGTGTATGTTGGAGGATAATTATCTACAACGTTCGAGACCTCGATTTTGTCAGGCCTACCATCAAGTTTGGTAATTTGTAAAAGTCTCTGACTGTTAGTCTCGACTTCCATTTCGCTTTCAAACAAAATCAATTCTTGGCTTATTGCTTCTTTCATTGTAATTTTGTGGCTACCTAAATTGTAATGTCCAGTGTCATCTAAAAATTTTTTGCTTAAACTTTTAACTAGACTAACTCTACGTTGATTTGACGGATCTATAACTACAGCCGAACTAGGATTAATAATTTTAAGAGTGATACATTCTTTTAAACTGGCCAAGCGATCTGTCCCTGGAATAATAAAAAGACCGGTAAGCGGATCAAACAACTTTTGGTTAATTGCGTCTTGTAGTGCCCATCCTTCGGTTGGTAACTCATATACTTGTTTTTCCCCAAGACTTCGTTCACTGGCCAAGAGATCAGTGGTGGCAGTTTGAACATTGAGTTTTTTAACAGGAATTTCCTTTCTGCTTGTAATTGTAACAACTGTCGATTTACGAGGAACAGCTCCAGTACTAACAACCTGACTAGAGCTTTCCGCATCCGGGGCTAGTTTGCCATCACTGATCGCTTGAACAATCGAAATTACTTGATTCATCTCCGGGTCCCTAAAGGTCTGATTCTCGTTATCGATCAAACCTTGTCTCAATGCTTCACTATAGGTTAACTGCGTAGGTTTCAGGTCCTTTTGAGTGACCGTGACGTATCTCTGGACCAATGTCCGAGTTACTTGTGTCGAAACGTTCAAATTGAGGAGACTATTCAACATGGCGGCACCTTCAGGTGTTATCAGATGTTGAGCTATGGCTTCGTTTAAATAAACGACTTCGTTTCGGGTAATATCAATCAAATTTCCTGTTTTTGGATCAATGTAGCCACGGAAAACAGCCTCGAGAACTGTTAATTCATTTTGTTGTTCAAAAATACCGATTTTACGTGTTAACATTTCATAAACTTCCGGTTTAACTTCACCGGTTTTGACACCCTCGACAAATGGAATAAGTTTTCCGGACTTGGAGTTGACTAAAAGGCTGCCGTTTGACTTTTTACTAATATAGCCTTTGGCGTTTGCCGCGTTGTAGCTAATGTGGTCGGATTTGTCAGGCGGTTGGAAAGCATCAACGTCAAAAATTGTTTTTTTAACAACTGAAATAATGTACCCTCGGCTAACCGCCTCTTGGATGGTTATGATTTCACCAGTGACTGAATTTTGAAATTTACCATCAGGAGTTATGATGCCGTCTTTAAGTGCATCTCCGAGTGTTACAAGGTCGTTCTTTTGAAAGTCTAGGATTGATTTGATTGTGTCAACGTCTAGGACACCACGTGCAACCGCTTCAAGGATCGTCAGTCGCGTTTGGTGAGTCGGGGAAAGGATCTTACCTGAATCGTCCATCAAACCATCATCGACGACTTCTTTGAGCGTTTTCGGTTTGACGATCAACTGACGTCTTTTAGCTTCTAGATATGAAAATTTCTCGTGGAAATACACATATTTACCGATTTTCGGGTTAATTAACCCTTGCTCGATCGCTTGAATCACGGTTAACTTATCGTCACTTCGCGGGTCGACAATTTCGCGAATATCACCATCGATCACGTTAGTTTTAACTGCGGCATCAATTTGGTATTTGCTCCCAGAGTTACGATCGACGATCCAGCCAGTCCTGTCATCGATCAATCCCTGTGTGATAGCATCAGACAACGCCATTGCTCCGGTCTGCAATTTAACTTCCGTATGCTGCAAGAGATAGCCTCTTTTGTACGCTTCTTTGATATCCATCGTCTCTCCCGACTCGAGTCTGAACGTCCCAGTGTTGACATCAACTTTCCCATCATCGATCGCTTGGTTTATCGTCGACGAATGCGTTACCTTTATCCGTTTTTCGCTGGAATCGACAAATCCATGCTCCGCTTCATATATTTTCCCCTGTATGGCTTCCAACAGTGTCAACTCTCGACCATCTTCGATAATTCCACAGGGACTTATCAAACCTTCGGCAATTTTCGGATCAATCAATTGCCGCTTCCGAGCTTCTTCAATACTGACTTGCGTACCGTCGGGTGAAATCAGGATTTTGCCGGTCCTTCCGTCGAGGATCCGAGCCGCGATTGCTTCCCGAACTGTGATCAGTTCCCCGTTGTAAGGATTAACAATCCCGGGAATATCGGTAATGCTCTCAGTCCCGATCCCTTCGTGCACTTTATGTACGCGTTTGAGTGACTTGATCTCGGTAAAATGCATGCTTTTACCCCAATTTTGAGACTCATGGATGATTTGAGTCTTTGTGGTGTACTTGTCAGGAGGACGCCCGTTTGATATTTTATCTATCTCGTCCTTCAGAGGTTGATTCAGTGTGTCTGTAGTTATTGAAACGGTGGTACCGTTTTCGGTACGAATTGGTTTTTGATGAATGTGCCTGCAAAAAAGATTGGCAAGAAGTGGTAAATCTAGCAAAAGTAAAAATCTTACTGTGTGGATAAGTGAGTGGTGGTGGTGTACGTTGCAGTTTGCTCGCTGGCACTGCTCATGTGGAATTCCGACCGGAAAGTCCGGAAGTGACGAGGCTGCATTTGCTCGACTAATCGCTGGAAAGATTGAAATTTGTTTAGGTATTTTAAGTATTAGTAGTGCTTAAGGAATTTAGTTAAGTGGCTCTTTGAGGAGAATTGATTGATTCAAAATTTGTAAAGGCGTTGGAATCGACACAAGATTGTATAGCAGTCACTCAACTTAGAGTATTTTTAGACATTGGTTGTAAAAGAAATGTGTTTTGAGCCAAATAAAAGTGTTTATTGAGGAAAAATACACATAAATAACAATTAAATTAGTTGGAATGTTAAACATAAGTTTCAAGATAACATATTTCGCAAAAAACTTGCAAAATCCTTCCCACACTAAAGGTGTAGGATCATACTAATTATTCAGACAATTCAATGTAAGACAAAAGATAACTTTTGAGGTAAGTGGTATTTAAAATAATAAAAATGCTTATTTCCAATGTAAAAAAAAATTATTCTCTCTATAACTTTGTAATTGCCCTTAAAAACTATAAAACGTTTTCCTGCTTCTCTCAATAGCAGAGATGTGTAAACCACTAAGTCACAATTCCTGGTTTTAAATTTGTCGTATCGGTAGATTTATAAAATGTTTTCTAGAATCTGAAAACAGTGAAACGTCAAAAAATAACTTTATACAAAAAAATCCCACCCACCAAACGACAAACCACAATTACGTCGTACCTACCTACAATGGGTGGGCCAGTATCAGTGATTAGTGAATTCACCAAGTCATTTGTATAAACTCCTCCTATCCTTGTTTTGTAATTGGCGATCAAAATTTTTGGGCAGGGATCTTTGACATTTAATATTAATTTTAATTTTTGTATTGGTTCAATTTAAATGTTTACTGTTTCCAGATTAAAATTTGGGCAACCTTATAGATAATTATAATTACAACGCAATGAACGTAAATTTCTAAACTCACTGAATTTAATTAAAGATCTATAACATTGAAAAACCTGTTATTTTTACGTCATTGGGTATAATAACTGCAACCACAATAGATTTAATTTCATTGGTTTATTATTATCCAAGTATGCCATACTAATTTAAAAATAAAACACTTTTTCTTGTGAAATCTATTAAAATATAATTAATCTAATAAATGAGTCATTGCTTAATAAAAGTATTTTAAAATAATGTAAATATGAATAAATTAAAAATTAGAAATTTGGTGATAAGGATGATGTCATGTTGAAACATAAACTTTCATGGTAAAATTATTAAAACAGTGAAGTAATTTACCGAAAATAGGTGTTACAACGGAAATAACATCATACAAGTGCCATCAATCAAATTTGAATTGACAGACTTACATAAACAATGCTGCCACCCTTTGCCACGCTATAATTAAAGTGAGTTATCAAGCTTTTAACACTACTGCCACCTCTGGCATTTATAAAGTAGCGAAAGCGGACACCTTCATAAAAAATGCTCAAATTGGCAATTACAACATTCGTGATATTTATTGCCCCGAGTTTCTTCAGATGTGTAATTTAACAATAAAAAATGATGTCATAAAATAAAGTTAGTTAATCAATGACTGGTGGATACTAAAAATTGCCTGTAGTGTTTTACGTCACTTTTGGAGTCAAACACATTTCAAAAAAAAAATTAACAGAGACAACCACTGAAAACCGTCTTTTCAGAAAAGAGATAGGTTTTTCAGGCGAGACGTCGCCACGCCGGTGAATCAATACTTCGGCTGTTATCCTAGGTTATGAGAATTCTGGGCTTTTGGTGTGTAATTACTTAACACATGTGTTAATGAGTTTTAGATCTCACAAATTCAAACATTCAAATGACTGACTCTTAACGAAAGTGGAACGATTACAAAACGGCAACGATTTTCATTTAAAAAATGCTGTTTTATCAATGGTAGAACTTTTATCGTTCTAATACCGGTAAGTATGTGGCGATTAGATAAAAGTTAAGTAAACAGAAAATGTTTTCATTTTTATTTTTAAATTCATTCAATTTGTATGTAATGATCTATTAAGGTGTACAAAATACTGGAGGTTTTCCAAGTGAAAACGTGGCAGTTTTCATTTTGTTACGACACAAACATATTGATTTTATTCTCGAAGAAAAAAAAAGTTACACTATCGAAAAAACTAAGCAAGAATCAAGCTGAAAAATAAGGAGTTACCTACCGAAATATCCCATGGTATGGTAGACAATTCGTAAGAAAAGTCGTAATTGTCTCCCATTTTATTTTACAGCTAAATCACAAGAGTAACAATAATAATTCTTATAACAACACTATTACAATATTTGTATGTAAACCTGTTAACAAATTTCTTGAAGTAGAATTTTTTTTTTAAACGTGTGCACAAAACTTCAGAAAATATAAACTAATTTCAAAGCATAATTAAAAAATAAAATACTAGGAAAATACATAACAAAAATTGTTAAATTAACTTGAGAGTTTTAGCAGTACAGACACCGGCGCGAACCGCGATGTACTAACCGAGGAAACGCGAAAAATGATTATATCTACGGAAAGTACCGAATATCTCCGATCGTTTTAATTTGAATCGTTTTATTTTTAGACCTGATGCATTAATTTCTCTACAATAAACAAAAATTCAAATAATTAAAGCAATTGTTACCCCTCAAATCAATTATTTAAGCGCCACAATTAAAAAAAAATCATGACGTCACTTGCATTTTCCACGAAAAAATGGTGTAGGTCGTACAGGTAAACCTTGAACGACTCCTATGTGCCTCCCATGTGCCATATTAAGAGATTTGCGTGGGTCAAACAACATTTTATCACACAATCAACAATGTAAAAATAAATTTGTGTCATGATGCAAATTGCATTACGTTTATTTGAAAATTTTAAATTCCGACAACGTCGCATTTTCAGTTGAAAGTGACAGTTGATGACATCATGGACTTTTATTTTTAAAACTTATATCACTTGTAGTTTATTAATAAAAAAAATTGTCGGTCAACGTTCAAGGGAAATTAATATTTAAGGTTGGCATCAGTGTAGAATTCCATTGTAAAATTCGCCCTTATGACAGAATTCTAAAACAAATAATTAAAGTTTTTTATAAATTTTGTTTGTAAACATTTCAAAAAATGTCAAGGCAAAGTGGAAAAAATAAATCAGAGATGTCCCAAACAAAAAATCACGCCCAAATTAAATTCAAAAATAGATTAAATTTTAGAGCGGCATTTCAAGGCTGTTTTCAATTTTTTATAAAAATTAAGCATAAAATAGAAATTTACATAAACTTTACGGTTGTCTAACCGTTAAATTAACAACAGATCACGTGGGCCTTAGATTTATGTCATCCCAAAAAATAACTTAAAAACTAATGCATTCTTAATTGTAGTTTTTAGTTGGTCTGATTATGACAATTTTAAGAGCATTTATTTTTAGTGTGTTGGCAGCCGTTAAACAGCCGGGTTTAATTACATTTGAGTACAATTTCTTTGATAACATTATTTTCCATCTTAAAAAAAAAAACAAGTGAGTCACCTGCTGTTACACACTTGTTCCACCGTTATAACCAATCTTAAAGTTATAAAACAATGTTTAAAAATTGTGACCAATTCCGACATAAGTGCTTAGAAAACTAAGTAATATTGAAATCTATTTTTCTTATTTAACTTTTGTTTTGGCACTTTTCTTATTTTTTTTAGTTTTCTCCCACAACAGCTTTATGTTTAAAATTTATTTTGTTGTCAACATTATCTTAAATGTTTTTTAAAATTTTATCATATTTTGTCATTTTTCAATTTATCTATTATTTTTTTAAAATAGCTTTAAATTTAAATACATTTTTATTTTCACTTACCAATGTGACGATATCCCCGGGACACCTGGCAGCGATCTCCTGCAACCTGCCATACAACGAGTCGATCAAATATTGATATTTCGCGTTGAATTCGTCCAACTCCTTGGCGATGATGTCCGCTCCACTCGGTCCACTCTCCTTCGTCGTCCTGAAGGCGACATCCAGCGACGGCTGTGACTCCAGCAGCGCCTCTCTGAACCTCTGCAGTCCCTTGCTCCAGATCTGGTGTTAGGGTTAGAGGTTAGGGGTCAGTTGTTAGTCCAGTCAGTGCTTTAGTTGACATTACATGAAGCTGTGACTAATGTGAATCGTGTGATTGAAATGTGTACGAAAACATAATCACCAGAGAAAAAAAATCAAAACTACGTGCTGCAAGATAAATCGTGACGAAAAACTAGTGATTATGTCGATAAAAGTGTCGAATTGTTGTGTACGTCTATCGTAACATTTATAAACTTTGAAAGAGTGAAAAGAATACAATTGATTCGCACGCCATTTTATGTAGAAACCATAAATGAAATGACACAAAAACAAGATAAAGAGAAGATAAAATTTGAGAGATATTTACAAAGAATGAAGAGTCCAAAACCTACCTACCACCAAACCAGTCAGTCAGTCGGAAAAGAAACATTTAATAATATTAAACTTTAGTAAGAGTTAAACGAAACTTGACAAAATCGTTGTTAAAACGAACACTGGACTGAAGATCCGCAAGTCCCCTCTTCCAACATCTCTACTGCAAACAACAATTAAAGCCAAGAAACAAACACAATCACACACCATTCACACCTAACCTAACTAAACCTAACATGTTCGTCATGAAATATGATATGGACAAATATTTTACCTTTCCTTCTCGGATAAATCTGCCTCCGTTGACATTTACTTGTTCGATAACAGGGGCCCGCTCATAGACACTGTTTAAAAGATTCTGAAAACAGAAGATAAATCAGACGAAACATAATAACTATAAACATACTCTAGTCGTCTCTAAATGTTCCTTGGCACGGTCTTTAATAGGTTGCAAGTTCTCCAACTTGCCGTAGTGCTCATCCAACCAAGCATCTTCATTCTCCTTAGGCTTCTTATAGTTCTTCAATAGGTTGTACGCTTGTTCACAACCGCGCAACCTGTCAGCCAATTGCGAGCAAACATTGCCCCATCTTGCGTTCAATTTCTGGATTTCTTTATCCAGACGCTCGATATCAGTGTGAGGACCACGTTGGTTGGGTCTTGATTTTTCGGTAAGTCGGCGAGTATTATCAAAATCGTCGTTGAGTTGATCCATAGCGATTTGTTGCTGGCCTATGGCTGATTGCAATTTGAGTAAGTCCTCGTGAACCCCTTCGAGACCCTTCTCAGTACTCGGCAATTCATTAAAGAGGGCAAGTTTGCTCTCAAATTCGGAAATGACTAAAGTCGCGTCTTCCATTCCGTTCAAAACAATCTCAATACATTTGAGACGCTCTATATAGAGATTACTTGTGTTCCAAATATATTTCCACTTATCAAGAACCTTCTCCAGATCTTTCTTGTGTTGAGGAGTCTTCAAAGTGATACTTCGGAACGTATCCTTGACTTGTTCGATCTCAGGCTCAAGGTTTTGCAACCTTGATTCAAACTCTTTATGTTCTAAGACTAGATGTTGCAAAGTGTCGATATCACGCGGAAGGTGGGCAATCACCCGTTTGTTGATTATTCGTTCCGCTTCATCCAAAGCCTGTTGCAAATTAGATATCTGTTGATTGAAAATCCTTGTCTGGTTCTTGCTTTCTTCCTCCGCACGTGCTCGTTTCTCAAACTCGTCGAAAAGTCGGTTGACTTCGTCCATTTCACGTTTCAAGCGTCTCAATTGAGGATCAGAAGGATCACCCTCAGCCATTATTTTATCAGCGTCTTCGTTCAAAGCTCTTCGAATCGCATTTCGCTGTTCGGCACCGATAGCGATAAATTGGGGCAAATCCCAACCCTTGACCACTTTAATAGTGGCAAAAATCATGTTTTGTCTCAACCTTAGTTGTTTCTTCTGCCAGAGAGCTATAGACCGGTCGTATTGTCGTCGGAGACGTTCCGCAGCATCAATTGCGTCTTTATCAGGTGGTGGAATTACGAAACACACTCCTGGGACTTGCGCTTCGATGCCTTTCTCGTTGTGGACGCGCCATTTAATCCTTCCAGAGTTGTCTGTCAGAGTGCACTCTTTGTTTTGTTCGATCACAAACTGCAGGCACAATTAGAACACAAAACAAAAATAATTAGTAACACTTACATTGTTTTGTTTGTAATTCGAGATGGCAATGACGGTAAGAGGTCTCGTGACTGGTTGTCGTCTCTGTTTCAAAGGAACGATCTCCTGAGAGCGCGCGATCAATGTTTGAACTTGATCGCCAAAAGAATTAAGCTCGTCTTTCAACATCTGCATGCCTTGCAAGAGTTTTTCCCCAGTATCCAAACTAAAATCACCTTGACTAAATTCGTTGTTCATTACATCGTCTTTTTCTTTAAGCCACTCTTCTGCCGTTTGAACGTCTTTAAAAAACTGTTGGTAGTTGCGAGTATTTTGCAAATGGGTCTCCAAGCAGTGGCTCAACTGAATTATCATCGCCCATTGTGCTTGCATTGCCGCGATATGTGCCTCAATAGCCTTAGACGCCGGATGGTTCTGCTGCTGTATCAAAAACTCACCCCTTTCTTGAACCGAATTGAACTGGTCTTCGCGTTTCTCCAACTTGCTCATCAGACTCTATAAAAAAAATTAAACATGCAAAAATCAGCGGACGTAACATTTACCTCACATCCCGATCCATAATTTTGCTGCGTTTAGTACAAAGGAAGAGTTAATCGAAAGGTTAGGGTTGTGGTACTTACCTCGTAGTAGGTCTCGACAGCAGCTACGTTCATCTTGACGTCACTCCAATCTCTGGTAACTTCTACTTCCTCTTTCTCGTTCAACCATTGGAGTTCGGTGGTCGCCGATTGGATAAAGTCGTACAAAGTGTCCAAATCTGTCATTCGATTTGTAGAAAATGAAAGTAAGTCAGCGTAGATTTTCTGAAGTTGGCCTAAATGTTGGTTGTAGAGAGTTAATTCTTCGCCGGTGAAGTATTGGCGAGCTTTGGCGCAAGACTCCACTTTGGAATGGAATTGATCGATTTGCTTGTGTTCGTGTTGGTGGAAATTGCGTTCAGCTTGGACGGACTGGAGATCATTACCGTAGTCGGCCTTCTTCAATTGTTTCTAAAACACACAATCTATAGAACCTGCAGACCACCCGAAACAAATTACTAACAAGTTTATTTTTGCACCACTCGATATATTCTTGAAGAGACCTGAAATGTGGATTAGTGTCAACGTTTCGTGTTTCTTGCACCGTTCTGATATGCTTTGTCACTGTTCTCTCTTCTACAGGAAAACTAAGATTCGATAGAGGCCCCACGATCTTATTGTGCAACAAGCGACGCAAATGAACCCATCTTTCATGCAAGTTTTTGACACGTTTGTCCAACTCGCCGGCTTGTGGATACCTCCCGTTTCGTAGAGTATTCACGTCGGTGGTCAACCCTTGAATACTAGCCTCTGCATTGGCCAAATCTTGATCCAATTGATCGGCGATTTTCTTGGCTTCGAGAGGGTGCATCCGTTCTATCCTTCTCGACTCATTTCCGATAGTTCTCTCGATGGTATCCAACCCAGAATCGGTTTGTTTTATTTCCCGGTGAACTTTTTCCGCTAATCTTTGCAGTTTTTCCAAGCGCTTAATTTCGTCTTGAACGTGTCGATCGCGCTCCTGATAGGCACCCATGAGTCGTTGCCAGTTCCTCTCGATATTATCAATGTGTAATTCGGGCTCAACATCCACTTCTCCAAGTGCCTTGAAATATTTTTCCAAATCGCGGAAAAGTTGGTTTAGATAGTTCTTGTCTCTTTGCCTCGGAGGAAGCTCATCGGTACGAAATCGGGATAATTCGGTAGCAATTTTCTTCATTTCGATGAGAGTATTGGGGAAAGATCGGTCTGTCATAAGGGTGTATTTTTCCCTCATCCAAATATGAAGCGAAGAAGCTAATTCGCGATACTCGTAAACGCGCTGTTGAGCACCGGAGTCATACAAAGGATGAATGGCAGGTGGTTCCGGGAATACTTCATGCAGAGACGAAATGTACGTAATGAGCGACTTTTCATCAGGTTCGTGGGTGTCAACATCTGAAAAAATGTCAGTAAAGTGGTACTACCAACAGAGGTACTAACGCACCTTCAGGATCAAGAAGTCTAGTAACTCCATATTCTCGTTCAGCGATATAGAAAGCTGTTTCCATCCTCTCGCTGGCTCTCTGAGTCTTAACGCTTCTCCAGTCGATCAAATCGGGCCGATTTCTGTGAATGATGGCGCTGAATGCCAGACCGTCCCTCCAGGACTTGGTAAAGTCTTGGACGTGGACTCCTGGATACTTATGCGTGGTGCGTTTCGCCCATCTTAGAAGATAATCTTTAGCGCTGACATTAGGTTCTTGACCGACCACAATATCGGATATCTACAAAGAAATTAAGAGGGCTATGCAAATCTGTGAAAATAATTGCCGCTCGTGGCTACATGCTTGCTTGATTGCGACTTCCTGACTAACTGTACACGAGATCCGTTCAAGAATATTAATTCATCGCGATGTCATCACTCGCTTTTCTTCGTTAAACATAATTAATACAAATTGTAACAATGATAAGAAACCGGCCATAATTTATCAACTATTGTCCGAAATCATGGATGTTTAGTTACGTGACGTTTCGATTTTTATTACAGTCTAGTGTAATGCCTGTTGTTATAAGTTAATAGACTGGAAAATCGACAAGACTGTGAACGATGTGAATAGTTAACTGGAAAAAAATATTTTCAACCAGATGGAAATGTACGCACCTATTGTTAATTGAAGGTAATTTTGTTTCAAGCGCACCCAATATAAGCCTTTAAATGTGTTTAATAACCTGTAATTACTTATTCGCTTCAGGTAAGTACTACCAAACACGCTACTTAATTATTTCGACGAAGCAACGAACTCAAGACAGATGAGTAGTGTAACATTCATTTATCAGACAATATTATTTACGAAGTTTGCGTGTTAACGTAAACTATTTTTCCTAGGACCCTAATACCCTAATTTCAGAAAGGAAAGTGGCCAATTACCTCCCTCATCTGTCAAAATCACATTAGAAATACATATACACTGTGTCAATTTTAAAACTTGCAATCGTCAATTTCTCTCAACTGAAAAAGTTATTAATAATCACTCAAAACCGTTTTGGTGGTTCCTAGGGGAAATTAAAATGACATAATAAGTGACACACCTCCACCCACCCTTGAATATAATAAAAGAAATGAAAATTTAAAGTCTTCGTTTTTAAATAATTGAAAAAATGGCTTTACCAAATATGCTGTTGTATGACATTTTTGAAAAGCGCTTGTTATGGGCTTTCCAACGATGTATCGCAAATAGGGTCGTGCCATTTAAAATTTTCAACTTAAGGTGGCTGTGGCTTAAAGGGTGGGTGGAGGAGCTTCACTTACCATACCATTTTGATGCCCTCTAAAAACCATCGAAACGGTTTTGAGTGATTCTCAATAATTTTTTTAGTTCTAGAGATATTGCCGATTGCAAGTTTTAAAATTGACACCCTATATGTAACCTCCCTGAGAGGTACGAGTAAAAATTTTTACCTCCCCCCATAGAAACGCAAAAATATGCTGGTAGATTTAACGGCAAAACTGGGGTATCGAGAAAAATTGTTATTTTTGAACTTTTTCTTGATGGATCATAGGAAAAATTATATATATTACACTAGAGAAAAGTGTCATTTCCTCCCTAGGTGGTTCCTCCACTTCCACCTGTGGGAGGAAAAGATACACTTTCCTCCCTTGTAATACAAATAATTATTATGACAATACAATACAGTACAATAGCAGGAAAAAAATACATAACCTAACCAGAAAGTATATTGCTTTTTCTCGCATGCATTCCTTGAAAAAGCTAACTAAGACACCTTTATTATTTATTATTGTCATTCTATAATAATAAATCAAAAAAATTAATTTTTTGTGTAGGCTTTCGAAAACAGCTGTTTTAGGGACTCATTTGAGTCCCTAAAATAAGTCTTTTCCGGACTCAATAAAATAGTATGCAAAACGGTTATTTTAGGTACTCAGTCCCCAAAAACAGTTTTTGCGGACTAAAAAATAAAATTGGTTACTATAGTAACGAATTTTTTTTAATTAGTAAGAGGTGTAATTTCGTGTTTTTGGGAGCTTTAACAAAAAAATCTTGTATGCACCACGTACGCAAAAGGTTTTAGGTGACTCCTCTCATTAAAGACACGGCTCCTACATCGCCTCGTCATTAATTACGATTCCTCCCCTAAAACCCTATTTTGCGTACTTGATACATTATTCTTATTAGATTCTTTCATTACCAGTCTGCCAAATATCAAAAAGCACTATATACTATTTACAGAGCCTCTTTCCTGTATCAGCTACTCAAGTCGCTAATATGACTTAATCATGTGATAATTCCAAGCCGTATCTTCTTGAGAAGTGCATTAAACTTCTTTATGGCCCTCTTAATGCACTTAGAGTACCCGAACCAAGTGCTTGAAGAGAACGAATATTTTCTCAAGCTCCCAATTAAACGCAACGATAATACCACATCAATCTGTCACTTTTCCAGGAGATAATTACTGTTGGAAGACTGGGGGCATCGAAAATTCTGCCAACTGCCGAGATTTATGAATGCAAATTTTGAACGCGTTCCAGAGTCCCGTTATGAATGTAGATTTGGAAAAAACGTGAAAGTTGCTCTCGTGAAAAAATTACAGTTGCATCTCGTTTATCTCAAATAAAATAATAAATAGTCTGATTGTGATTATACTCAAGAAGTCAGCAGTATATACGCAATAGTTGCCTTCAACTGCAAAAAATGGATGACAGAAACGTGTCAAGTTCTTTAACAACGTAACAAATAAATCAGAGTGTGGGTATTAGAATACAGTGCATAAGGCGGGCCGATCTATGTCAATGTCAATTTTGTACAAACAAAAGCCTTATTAACCAATTACAAGTGATAAAACCTTTGAGCGGTGGAAGAAACTTTCACGTTTGAACACACCTCGCGCGAATCGAACGATTACGCAAGCGAAGAAATTGTATCCGTACTTGAGGCCAACCTGAATTCAGCAAACCTTTTATGAAGATTATGCAACAAAGAGGCTGTGGCTTGCCACATTTCCGAGAGTTTTCGGTTTGGAGAAAATTAGGTAAACGTGTTTGACGCGATTTATAAATGAACAAAAACACGATTAGCCCGTCACACCAACCACCATAGTTTTATTCTCACCTGAGGATGACCACTTTGTGGTTGAAACGCGTTGTGTTTTTAAATAAAAGTTTGGTGTGACGGGCTAATCGTGTTTTTGTTCATCGTTTCCATACCAAGAAGATCCAAGAAGAAGAACGCGATTTATAAAAATATTTGCGATAAAGTTGAGAAGAAACTCAACACGAAGAGTGATTTGAATGGTAAATGAAGCGCGAAGCGTTAATTGCTGTTGATAAGGTTGTGGGAAGAATTGAAAATATTACCACTTGAATTTTCAAGGTTGCATTCATTTTTCAAAATAAATAAACCAAAAAAATTTCAAAAACAAGAAAAACAAAACTTGCCTGAATCCGAAGCTCACTGTAATAGTAAATGCATATTTGACAAAAAAATTGTTTTAAAAATTTTTAAGAGATAAAATAGAGGCAACAATTGTTTCTTAAGTGTGGGTACTTTTTGATCATGAACTAAAAAAATTAAGTAAGCAACTGACTTAAATTACATTATAAACAATCCTCTCTTTAAATAACACATCATGAAAGTGCTTCATCGTTTGCAATTTTATAGTCTTGCTTGTTAAGCTTATTAATAGTAACAAAAAAGTTAAGATTGACATTTGAAATTACACTACATGAACTTTTAACCAAGGCAATTAGAACAATTTATTGAATTTGCATGTATTTGCGTATTCATCATTTATGAATTCAAAGAGCATGTAAAGCAGACATTTACAGAAAAAGAATAGGAAATTCACTTATAGAGAGTCAAATAAGAACGTGAGAAAATCCAAAGAAAATCGGAACATAAAAACAATACAAATAAATTCAGAAGGTATGAAACAAAACGTAAAAGTAAAAAACCGTAATTTTAAAACCCTTATCTTCAAACCTATAAATTTTGTAAACAAACACGCAAAAGTGAATGCGACTTCTCCACCGTGTAGGTAACCTCCGTCAAAAAAATCACATGACGTCACGCTTCCGTAAATATTGACGATGTCGATGTCATAAACAATTAACCGGCAAACAACATATCTTCATGTCAAAAATGGTACCCAACCTTGACTCGTTTCGGCTGTACAGCTTCCGTTTGTTTAGCCACATCCTCTCTGCTTTGAATACTCCTCGTCACAGCCCTTTTGGTCAAATCCTCGGCCGTGCTTTTCTCCTCGCCCCTAGTTAAAGTGGTAACTTTCCGCACGATTCGCGTTGTTATCCTGCGAGTACCGTCCTCGGCTCTCCTGCTAGTCTTGGTCGACTCGATCGAACTCCCCAAAACCTCCGTAGAGAGCCGTTTCTTCGTGTAAACCGCTTGGAGATTGTCCATTTCGTTAGGATCCGAAAAATGAGTCACTATCGGAGGGCCGAGCACTCGCGAGGAGTCCCCGGAGGTCCCCTGAACGAAAAGGCGCTTTTGCCCGCCTGAATGGTTGTCTTTCACAAAACGGTACATAGACATTATCGCATTGCACTTTCACCAAAATTTTAATAGATTTTTAAAAGATTACAAGAGACATTTACAGGAGACAGGTGTTACATCAGGTGAACGTCGGTGAATACTGACGGATCGCGGTTAGCCTTGCTCGTGGAAGCATTGCAATGTGTGTTGGTGGGTAGCAGGGCCGTACGCGGGCGGTTTCGAGCCCCACCAAGGGTACCGTGATTGCACAAACGTTTTTACCGTGACTGAAATTGTTTACTTATTTGGTTGTCACACAAGTGACAAAAAACGAGCGAGGACAGGACCGTAACGAGTACAATGAAATTGTAGCAATTATTAGATAAGTGGCGAATGCACCTTGCAAACAGTCACAGATGGCCGGCGGAGCATTTCTTAAATGAGCGCCATCTTAAAATTATTTTTCGTGAGGCTATGCCGGACGTGTGTCGGATTATTTCCGGTCGGCTGCCCCCATTTCCGCCGCTGGCCGGTGTTGTACCGGACAGCTTTATCTCGCACGGTATTGCGTGTACTGCGATGTATGATTGTTCATTCATACATTTTTTCTAGTAGACCCCGCAGATTGCAAACGTTAAAATTATTACAATTAGGAGGTTTTTAATTAGAAATTTACTAACGACCAATCAGAATCACACAGTCGACCACAAGAATGAAAAGCGAATTCTATTGTGATACGTAATAATAGAAAGACTGAATCGATTTATTTAAATTATTCCTAATTGTTAAAATAATAAAACACCTGGATGCAATTTTCCTGCAACTGCGCATCAAGATCTTTTCTGCTGTTAATAAAAATCAGTTCCTACTACAACTTTAATTCTGCCAGTTCAATTGATTAATGAATCAGTTAAACATTTATATAGGTATAGGTACATATTTATTATCCTGCAAACAAGAAGATGTTTGTTACTTGTGCTATTAAAGCTCTACTTAAAACGATTATTTTTAACCATATAACAATAGTTATTTTTGCATTGCAGAGAGTAGAAATAAACTTTTCTTATGTCAAAACTGTGACAGAAGTCAAAATTCTCTCCCGCGAAAGAGAAATGAGCATAACGGCGAGAGCAAATGTTTGCTCCCGTTACATTCATTTATAGGCTCATTGTCAACAAACATTTTGATTGTTAATCATGGTGGAATTTCAAAGAATGGTAGCTTTATACTAATTTCTGAATTGTATTAAAGAATTACAGCCAATTCCTTGGGTTTTTTAAGTCAAGTCGTGCAAAAACAGTATATTACGAGTCTATACACCACTGTTGTGGTGTATTCCTTTGTTGCTTTATGGCCCTCGAGCTTGGACACCTCAGGAATAATCGTGCATTTCTCTCCCTTTGCGTATAATGTACTATTATTTTCCTTACTGAATCAATAAAAAACATTCTTCATACAGAATAATAATTTTTTTTTATAATATATTTTTTAACGTGAACTATACAGAGTCGAGTCACATGAGAGTTACTTTGAAAATTAATTAGTTTTCAACCAAAAATACCTTTAGCGTATGTAACTGGATATAATATTTTATTTAAATCAATTCATTAATCAGTGTGAGCTAGATAAAAATGAATGAAGTCGTCAAAATGACAAGTAATTGTGTGCTTCAAAGACTCTAATTTCATTTTCTGGGCCAGTAGCAGTCCTCTGACGGGGTCTTTCATTGGGGGCCAATCTTGTCGTAACTTGGCTTCCAGTTTTCTAAATCTTTCGGGAACCGGATGCATTCGATTTGGATACTTCTTCAAGTAAAGCTGCTGCCGCAGGAGCATTTTTCTTACAATTTCCACGGATTAAGAGCATGCCCACTTTTTCGTTATTTGTGTAATAATACATGAATTAACGATAATTGACTGTTATTTTTAAATGTCAAAATAAAACGATAGGCAAAGTATTCTTGGATTCAATTTTATAATTTTTAAAAATGAAGAAGCTAGGCGCCTATGTGAATTGTATAATGGGTTGCTGTCCAAATTATTTCAGAAGTAACTCTCCTGACCCTGTATATTCCTCTTATCAATAAAACCTAACTAATATAATTTTAATAATATACATACACTGGCGGACATAAAATTTTGGACGATTTGTCATTTGACTGACATAAAAATGTAAAACGGGCCTTAGGCAACTAACATCATTTTCGGTTTTTGTAATTTTTATCCTGATAGCCAGAAAAAAAATGACAACAAATAATAATAATTTATTGAACTTATATAAAAACACGTATTGCTGGCATTATTGTTTCGGAAAATCGACACCAAAAATAAATTTCAAATAAAACTTTCAAATTTTAGTTTCAAACGTCAATCACAATAACAATAAAGCGTGACTTACATTGACATTTTTTGAATTGATATAAATTTAATGTCCAAAATTCCGTGTCCGTAACTGTATATACAGGGTGATTCAAAAATGTCGAACTAACACTCGAATGGTGATAGAAGACTTTCAATTAAGCATAGAAATAAATTCAGCTTTTTGTTTCAAACTTTTTTTTTCATATTATCATGTAGGCATTTTAGTTTCCAATGTAATTCAATGTGATTTAATTTGTTGTCGAATTTGCTAGTTTGGAAAATGTTTTTTACACCATGAGACACAAAGTGGTGATTTTTTTCAACAGGTAAATTCAGTCTTACAAGATCTGCCGTTTCCGCTAACTAAATTCAAGACTACCTAATCGGAACGACCAGAAACTTATCCAAAATCTAATCTTTGAAAAGCTATATCTCGTAAAATAACTCAAATAATTTTTTGTCATGAGAACTTTTAACTTAGGTGGATGTCCTTTATCACCACCCAAGAGATGGTCCGACACTTTTGAATCAGCCCGTATATTATATATAATTAAAATTAATTCCTCCGTGATTACTTAACCGAAAAAATGTGTAAACATGCAATTTGTAATTTTTCTCCTACATTAATAAAACTGTTCTTACTGGAAAAGCTCCTCTTTAGTTAATAAGTAGTTACTATTTTTCTGCTATCTGAAATATCATTGTTTCTAAATCTAAATTTCTAAATCTTGTTACCGTAATTTCGTATTTATTCAATTCCATACGTTTCAATTGTGCATTGCTTTAAAAAAGACTGCAGTAAAACATCTGGTCACTGTTATCCTAAAATCTAGTCCAGCAACTTTTCCTGCTTCCAAAGCTCACTTATCTCCCAACCCAATTAGCCTAACTGTTCCTCCTACTGTTCCACCACTTCAATTACCAACCCACGATAGTTCTCCAAAGACATATGCACAAATCCAATTTGTTTACCATGCCATTCCCACGATTCTCCTTTCATCGTTTTTATCATAATTTCCTATTCATTAAGAGTCTTAATTGCATCCCAACGCAATCAAGCGTATTATTTTTAGGACCGCATTTCCGCAAATCCAACCGTAAATCCAACTTCCGATCAAATTTCAGCAAATCGTTTCCCGCGACCTCTTCATCGTGATTGTCACGATGCATACATGAGAACCGAGATTAGAGCAACGTTTCCTGCTTTTCTTTTTTGGAGAAAATAACTGTTCGGTAAACACTAGATTATCACTTTTATTTCAGGTCAAGATTGCAAAGAAAGGAAAAATAGCAGCGACGTGAGATCACCCCAACGTGGGTCTAAAGAATGGACTTTTTATGCGTGGGTGGAACCGCCGATCAACCATAACGGATTTAGACAGTTGTTCCAGTTTTTTTGTCTAACGTTTGGGTCAAAGTATAAAAGAAATTAAAAAATAAGTGTTGGTAGCACCGCACTAAAACCACCCATTTACTAACATTCATCTGAGGTCAAGTGACGGCGCCTGAATTCATTCGAGAAAATTCAATTTCGAAACAATTAACATAATTTCACCACCGCGACCATGACCGTCTCATTAAATTCCAAGAAAACAATTTCTGACACCATATGGTAATTAGAACGTGGGTTGAATGTTTTTTATCAAAATGGATTTATTGTAAAAAGTTTAGTAAATTCGCTATGTGGCTTTATAAGGCTAGGGTGGCATAACTTATATTGCGTGGGCCAAAAATTGATCTTCAGTAAACAGAGGCGTTTCGTGTACCTTTTTGACACAGTTTTCATGTGACGTAAACTTTTGTTTTATTAAGTTTTTGTAATCTTTTCGTTATTTATAGTCGTTCAATTAAAACAAATAAAGAAAATAGTTGCATACATTTTCCATACTCATCAAAAACTATAAAATTTATTTCTCATTAGCACAATTGACAGTTCACCTTGTCCATTTTCTAGGTAATAACCTAAATGATTAAAGCCGACCAAAGCATTATAAAAATACTTCGCATACATCGCCATTATTATCTGTGATCTCATTCAGGCCATAAAAATGCGATTTACACATTATACGAATTAATGAATAATAATTCAGTGAGTCCAACAAACATACTCGACGCCATCTAGACTCCAGAGCGCGAATTTAGCTCCGTCGCAAACCAAACCTGTTTTAGCCAGTTCTTGTTACAGCCAGGCAAGGTGAAATTGTCTTACCTTTAATGTCTAGAAACCCGGAAGCATAAAAAATTAAAAAACTGTATTTAATAAAGTTTCGTAAAAGATGCACATATAGGCATAACAGCGCTCGGAAAAGAACTGGCTAATAGACAATTGTACCAACTTAAAAAAAGTTAAAAGCGACGCCACTTACCTGAAACTTCAAAATGATAGTCCAGATGAGACCTAGGGTAAGTTTGGGGTTGCCATCGACTATGTCTTCGGATCGGATATTAACAAGTTTGATTTTTTTACAGTGGAGGAAATGTAAGGCCGTGTCGATATTGTGGAGCATGTGGAAACGCATATTCCCTTTCTCTCTCGGCTGAAAATCATTGTTTTGTCATTCATTTCGGTAGATTAACAAAGTACAACAATCTTGGTACATGTTAATGACATTGCAATCAACATAGTTTCATTAATAATAATATAATAGTAATTATTCAAGAAGTGTGCAAGTTATTATTTAAGGTATGATTGATAAATTCTTAGAACTACTGACGTGGAAAGGTAAAGATGACGAACAAAACACTACTTCCCACGCAACAAAATTATATCTGATCGGATTTGGGCAATAGTCCAAAATTTTTGAAAAAATTTTTAAATTATTTTTTTTTTTATAGATTGCCAAATATGGAATTTTGAAAGAACTGTAAAATTTCTCAAGAAAATTGTAAGTAAGTAGAGAAGTCTTACGAAAGCTCGACCTATATTAAATTTGGCATGGTATTACCAATAATCGAATTATTATTTTACTTCTGATTATTATTAATAGACGTGGCATGCCTTAAAAGGCTTTTTATAAATATTGAACAATAAATTAATCTGAAACAAGCATAAAGCAATTGAATGCCCTTTCCTACTGCCTCTTTTATCAAAGACAAGGTGTTAAAATAATAAATGTTCTAAAATTTATTATTCAAGAATTTAAGACGAGCTGTTGACAGCCTTCGCTTTCACTATCTTAGTCATCCATAAGAAAAAAAAACTCTATTAAGAAATTAATTTCAAAATCGTTTTAATTAATTAGTGGCACAATTGACATCAATTACAATACTTACAAGTTGTTCGCCAGTTAAAACCTCCAAGAGAGAAATCAGATTATGTCCATCTCGCAAATCCTCGAACAGATCCCTGACTTGCCGGTTGGCCTGCAAAAGACAATTTTTTTAGGGTATAAACTATACATATTATCCAACAAAAGTCCGTGCAATCTACTGACTAAAACCATGCAAAACCACTCAGACTTACTGAAGGTGGGCAACACGGCGAATTGTTGACGGTGACACACACGTGCAAGCACGTGTAAGTCTGTAAATTGGTAAAAATTAGCTAAAAAGTTGCATAGACAAAGAACAGACGGAATTCATTTTGTCGTACCGGAAAAGCTTGTACCGAACTTATTTTGCACTTAGTTGGGGCAATAAACTTTTCATGTTTATACAATAGCAGAAAATAGAATATCCCTGTTGCATTTTTTAGAAAAGATGGGTCAAAAATGTTTATTTCCCACTTTCAGTTAATGTAAATTCGAGAAATCGCGAGTACATGTAGATAAAATTTGATGTTTATATTGGTACCACTTAGTTATCGCTTTTTTAAGTTCATAATCGAGTAGGTTGGGCAAGTTTCCATAGAAATGTAAATTTATGACTTTTTATAATCTTTTACAGGGCGTGACATCAATGAGACACCTTTCTGAATTTTCATGTTTTTTTAAAACATATTTGCAAAATGTTCTTTTTGTTTATTTATAATTTTACATAATTTGCGCCCACAGATAATGACCATGCCCTTGAATAGCGTAGATTTGTTTGTTTCTATACGAAAAACACTACAAAATACATTTAGAGGCTTTTCTATTTAATGACGAAACGTGTATTTGCTACTTATCTTATCTTAAAGAAATACATCACAAATGGTTTAATTAGACATTGTGAAACACAATTATAGAAAATAAAACCGTAGAGGTCTTCATAACTCTAAACCTCGTGCCCTTTCAATCGTCTTACTGGCAACGTCGCAACAAATTTTGAGCCAGGGGGTCCCACTATTCCATTAGGAAAAACATTATGAAAAGTGACAGAAGTGGCGATACAGTTAAACCTAGAGACTTTTCTATTGCACAGTGGCAAGTGCGATTTTTAATGTGAAATAGGTGGTTTATGTGTAAATGCAGAATCTATAGAAGTCCCATTATTTCATATGAAAAAAAAAACAGAATGGCGATAGAAAATATCGATACAATCATATTAACATATTTGTATTCACATGCCCCCGGTAAGTAAAATAAGCCTCAAAGAATTATCTAAGCATAAAGTCCTTCTGTTTGGACACGTTTTAAAAATGTAGGTTAAAAAATATAAACAAAACAGTAAGAATTGTGTCAGCTGTTATCTCTGCTATTCAAAAAATCTTCTATCTATTATTCCTTCGCTTTTGCATTAGAGGTATTAGACAATATTAAAATCAAAAGAACTGATCGATATCGAATTAAAATCATGCAAAAATTAGGTTAATAGCGTGATTTTATTATGAAAATTCAAATATCCGATGCAGTGCTAGGAGTGCCACCGTTACGTATCGCCACGAGACGCGTCAAAGTTAATTATAATGCAGGCTGCACCAACTAATTAGTGTCATGAAGATTCCTCGTTATCTGCAGAAATTCTTCAGATTTCTTTCTTGTTCCATTGCCTTTACCAATGAATGCAGGTTTTTTTGGTTTAAATTTTTTGACAAAAGCTGTTTGTTAAAATTAAAAGTATTTATTTTGTTTTTTTATTACTATAATAAAAAAAATTGTGATGTAAACACGCGATAGAACTTGCAATAAAGTGTTCATAATCTCAGTGTGTTTAAACAATAATTATCAATAAAACTTCAATTCGTGATTTCATCTAATCTTGTACTCGTATTTCCCCGACAGCATCACAAATCCTTGGTATTTTATCGCTAATCAAGCAATCAACAAATATTTCCAAGTTTTTCGTAATCAAAATATGATCTCAGTAATTCCAAAAAAAGCAACATTGCCCAACCTCTACCTCAACCTCTTCAAACTGTAAAATAAATTTTATATAAATACAGGGTGCGCCACAACTCGCGCCCCAGAGAAAATTTTCAAGGTAAGATACCAAGAACATAAAAAATGTTTAAAAAATCTGTCAAAAAAATTTGACATTTATTTATAGCTATTTAATGATACTGATGATCTTGTATATGTTTTTTTTACAATTATTTAGTAAAGGGACAAAAATTTTGCCAATAAAAGCCACAAATACCATAGAACAGAGTTACAATTTAGGATACAGCTTCCTTGTTTCCTCTTTTAATAGCCTACAGCAAAATAACTTGTAAAATTATTTTTACAACAGAAACAAATAGTCATAATGCAAACTTTAAACCCTCATAACTTCGAAATTTTTATACGAGTAGATACATTTTTTTTAACATTTTTTCCATGTTCCTGGTATCTTACCTTATATGGCATATAAGTAAGGTATATACCAGGTGTATAAAAAGTATGGAACTAAGCGTTTTTCTCGTAAACTAACCACTTTACAAAGAAAATAATTAGTGTAGCGTATCCAATTAAAATGTGACCATTTATCAAGAATAACATTTTTCGAAATTTCTTTTAGTTTTCGGGTTTTAGAAAAAAAATTTTTTTTTAAATGGCAACCCACCATGATAATTTTTTTAATTAAAGATTATGATCTAAAAATGACCTTTAATTAAATAAAATTGTTTTTTAACCAGTACTTTTTTTAAATTAATTGTTAAAGTTGCCTTCCGAGCTCATCACGAAGATTTTCCGAACTTAACCGAAGTGGTTGTTTCATGCTTTTCATCATGGGAGAGCGCTGATTTCTATGCAGGTGCTTTGGGGTGGTTTCGAATGGACTAAAAATAGAAGAAAATGATTTGTTTTTACATTTTTTGATCCATCCGGAACCACCCCAAAGCACCTGCACCAAAAACCGGGCTCTTCAACGACTCCCTCGTTCAAGTTCGGAAAATCTTCGTGATGGTCTCGGAACGCAACTTTAACAATTTATTAAAAAAAAAGTACTGACTAGAAAACAATTCTGTTTAATTAGAGGTCATTTTTAGATCATAATCTTTAATTAAAAAAATTACCATAGTGGGTTGCCATTTAAAATTTTTTTTTCCAGAACTCGAAAACTAAAAAAAATTTCAAAAAATGTTATTCTTGATAAATGGTCACATTTTAATTGGACTTTACGCTACACTAATTATTTTTTTTGTAAAGTGGTTAGTTTACGAGAAAAACGCTTCGTTCCATACTTTTTATTCACCTGGTATATCAACACAACGATGTGTAAAATCCCTCTTACCCATAAATCGCAATTTACATGTTATAGTAATTAAGAGACCTGAATACCAATGTTGTGCATTTAAAAATCCATAACCTATACACGGTTATTTATATATTGGCAAGCCTGATCTGTTGTTCTTTCAGACCGGCTAACCTGGTTGTGCATACATGGCCACCTGTGACGAAACGAACGTGTTTCGTTTTAGCATTGTCGGCGAAGAGTTTCGTTTTCACCGATCGACCTTACGGAAATTACAAACATTGAGAAAATTAAATGCTTGAATTGAATTAAATTTTGGCACGAAATGGTTCTGAGAGTGCTATCGTTGCGTTGATCGAGTGCCAGGCGGCACTCAACCTAATTAGGTTTATGAGGTCGGATGCATTTCTCGAGAAAAAAGCGAATGGCTAATTAACGGATTTATCGTATCTTGAGATGTACGGCAATGGCCTTCGCGAGATTACTAGACACGTCTATTTTTAGTGAGCACATTGTTACCACAAGACAAAAATAAGCCTTGAAGATTCGAAGACAAATTTCTTAGTGGTCAAACATGTGTTTTATTAATATTTGTCTAATAAATTACCGATTGATTGCTTCATGTATCGAGAGTTGTAGTGAGATAAGATCGGGTGATTACCATAAAATAAACAAGACGTACCTTCATGTATTTCCAGTGCTGCCAAGCATGAAAATGACAAACAATAATTAGTGACAAGATGATTGATATTTTGCATAAATTAGAGGGGACAATTTTGTTATACAATCGGCGGTCAACTGTAATAACTATTCTCGTGAAAATATACAGCAGAAAACAAAAGAGAACAAAAGGTGAAAATCGTTAAGCAATTGTTGCTACTGGAAAGATTAATAAATCAACTAATAACACGCTTTGTTTACGTTTGATGTCAAAGTCGAGCTTATAGTTAATGCAAATTGAGCGGTTATTAAATCTTCGGAAAACGCTGATATTACCTAATTAAGCAAATGTGTTAAATGAGAATAATAACTTAAAAACTCTAAACAAAAACTTGCCCAGGTGCATATGCTCTCAAATGAGAACCCAACTGACATCACTGGAGTCAAAAGCCGAACTCATTATAACCAAAAGAAAATTCAATAAACACATGTTAATAATGTATTTACTCAAACAATATTCTTAGCAAAAATGTAAATATGTAAAATTTTCAATTTTCGGCGACTTACGACACGACTTGTTGTGCGACTATTTAATTAAACTGAGAAATTATAACTCAGGACATTCAGGTGAAAATGTGGGTAACCTTAAGAAATTTCCACTAATGTGTATGTAAAACTAAATTCGTAACTCAAGAAATAATCAAATTAAAAAACAATGAAACTAAATAAATTAGTAAAATATAACCTCAGAATTGACAATAGTATCGAGCGATCAAGATAATTTGTAATCGAGTCTTCTTTGCATTCGAGAACGTATGTCTGTTTTTGAACTAACTGCACAAACGTCAAATAAAATTCGAAAGGTAAAACGTCAAAATGGGCTGGAATTAGTCGCCTACGTATAATAATACAAGTAGGACCGTTCTTTTTTGAAGGTAAATTTTAAATTTAGGTATTATAATCATTACTTTTTTGATCATGCCACTTTACCTTTCGACTTGTCATTTTACTTGACATTTTACAGACATACGTTTTCGGATTCAAGGATGACTCGATTACAAATTATCTTGATCGCTCGATATAACAAAATAATAATACTCCGAAATTTAAAAAATAAATTCCCTTAGCTAAATTGTAAAATATAAATCAGAAAACGAAGTGTTATAACCGAGGTTATAACAAAATATGTAGAGACGAAAACTCTACATTAGAATAAAATAACGGAAATCTCCAACACAAATGACTGACACAACCACAAAACAACTTAGATTGATGTTAGCGAATTTTCTCGTATGCTCAAAATAAACCCTACAAAAACCGTTAAAAAAGTACTAAGACAATCAATAAAAGTCGTCTTCTCATTTCATCGCTCGGTTCATAAATATGGCAAATAAGCGTTTAATAACTGTTGATACCCCATCAAGCGGTCAGTAGTTACGCCAGTTAGAAAATTGTTTATAATTCCCACAGATCGACAAAATTTATTAGACGTTAGAACCATAACGTGCGAGAGAAAGTAAAATGGTGACCCGTTAGCATTTCCTACAGTTCTCACTCTATGATTATAACTTAATCAAAGAACTCGGTGCATTAAACCGTGGTAATGACCTGTAACGGACCAATAGCAATTAGTTCCGCACAGATATTCAAATGAGTAAACATTGGCGCCAAGATACTCTTCCGATTGGCGTTTAAAAAGACCGTGTCAGAAGGTAATTGGAGCTAAATAAGCAAAATTTTTGCCTAGCGAAGGCATTGTTCTTACTCGACCCAACTCACGTCTGGTCATAAAAGATTGGTAATACTGTCACGTCTTTCACTTGTCACATATTATTACGATTATTCGAAGAATAACGATCCCTAGATGGTAATATGTATTTCAATGATTCAAACTTGTTTCGTTTTGTGATTCATGAGCCAACAATGGCTTTCTATCGCCTACGGAGTCGAATTTACCACATCGAAATTTATTAATCATCTATATGATAATGGGAAAATACTTCTTTTGTTTTTTTCATCACTATATTTTCGACATCTTTCATAGGCACAACAACGAAATGCCGTACTTTGGACAACTGTAAAACACCTCCGGAAACCGCAAAAAATCAACTGTCTAATTTGCAATCACTCAACTAGATATTTTTAAAAAAAGTCCGGTCATTCGCTTCACCAATCCCAGAGTTTTGCTCAAAGGCACAAAGAAAGTTTGCCAAAACCGATCAAACATCCTCCAAAAAAGGAACTTAATTATTCTATTATTAAAACAGTCCGACTCAAGCTCCCACCTGGTGGACACCAAGGCCACAAAATGACCGGAACAATTCGGAAGTCTGGACTATTTTCGGCCGAAAGCAAATATTTATTTCGAGAGCTCGTGAACTTCAAATCCTCCGTTTTCCGAGGATGTCAACGACTCGCAACTATTTATACTCCTGTCATAATGTCTCGACTTTGACCATCGATGGGAATTTGCAAACATCCTACACGGATCAAACTAAAGACTAAATATAATATCCGTTTCCCTTTGAAATGTTACAATACGAAGAATTTTAAAAGATGAATGATTACAAAGATAAATATTTTTTCATGGACTTATATGGCAGCCAGATGTGTCACAATGAATTATGAAGTAATAATAACGTGCGTCTTACCTTTTTCAGATGTTTGTTGACCCATTTCGTGAACGTTTTCTTCTGAACAGCGTCGCGCTCGTCTGAAAAAAAATAAAACTCAAAATGATGATATTAAATAATTTCTTTGTTAGTTCAAGTAATACAAAACAAAAAATGCAAGTAATTGTGGACACAATTGACAGTTAGTAGATGCGAGTAAAACAATACACATAACAAAGTCTAATATTACATATTATATAACTCTTAAAACAAAAACAAAAAGTTTCATTCTTTACTATTATGATGTATAATGTAAAAAAGTGAGACACCAATAAAACTTATACACTTGTGAGTCTATAGAATCATAAAAACACATCTGTAACTCTTGTAATTTTTAAGAAGCCCTTTTTATCAAGTGGTATAATCTGGAGGCTTTTCCCCGGCGCCTCCGCCCACTTCTCCACAATACGAACTGAAAGCGATCTCTGTCTTCATTTAAGCGCACTCCAGATATCACAAACAGGCTTGTTACTTATTAATAATTGCTAAGTGACGTCTCCAGACCATCATACAGTTATGCAAGTAGAATAAATTAAAATAGTTTTGTAAAACAGCCTTGGGACAAGATAAAACGTTCCGGATGGTGACCATACAGTTACGTAGACGTAACAGGTGATGCAGTAACGTAACGTAAAGAAGATCGTCATTAGCATGTCTATAACTGCTTACTTAATATTTGCACGACGAGTCAGCGACCAAAATAATCTACAAGTTCTTACAAGAACTGTCACTTGTAAGCGATCAAAAGTGATTTTTCGATCGATAGCGTGTTTAAAATCGATCATATTAAATTTATGACTTGACCGGAAACCAAAAAAATGACGGATTAGAAATTCAAATCGCTGTAGCTGTAGGGATTGCATTCTTGCAAATGTTACTGTAATCCGTTTGTGACGCAACTAATCACTAGGCACATTGCTAGTGCTACAATTACAGAAATTTACTATTGTAATAATTGTGATCTGGAAGACACCACTTTGTGTCAAATTATTGTAATTACTGGCTACACCGTTGGATTAATTCTTTGACAGAGGAAAAAATTCGCCTGGGGCCACACTTAGACATTTTTAGTCTGTGACAAATATTGTCTAATCTTGCATTAAGACCATAACGACTTGTTTACAACACAGGTAAAATATTTTGGTATCAGTAGGAGAAATTTAGACACTACAAATAAGATCGCCGTAAGCACAAATGAAAAAAAAATATACAGGGTGACTTATCCTTTGCATTCACTGGAAGTGTTGCAGAACTGCATTTGGCACAAACTGCAGTTTACGTCTTTGACCCAAATTCGAAAAGAATTGTAGAACAATATGTATTCTGGGAAGATATTTAATCATCTTGCAAGCATAAAAACCACAACTATTTCTCGGCGAAATCGCGTAACTTCTAACGGAAGAGTTGAAAACAGAGTATCAAGAATACCTGACATCATTCGAGATATGTATCTTAAAATGAAGAAATCGACTATTTGCTTCATTGTTTTGTACAACCAAAATTTGTCGTCCCCTAATCATGCAACTTGTAATTTAGATTTAATTAATTTGACCTAAGAAACACACAATCACATAAGCAGAAAATTATTTATCAAGTTCGATTCCCAGCATTATTCTCACTAATACAGGATATGAGCTCAGATTCTGTGTCACTAACGACAATTTAAACAGCAAAGCTTCTAATTAATTCATTATGTTTACAGTCGATGTCAAATTTTGAAACACGTGACTGGCAACATTTTTGATCGAGAGTAACAGTGGCAGGCACCACCTTGAAATTGTAATAATTTTCCACCAAAACAAAATATGTTCACCCTGTATATTGCATTAGTGCTGACAAACCACTCGTTAGGACATCTCCATGCGGCACACTCAAAACCCACCACCGTACCTGAAGTAGCTTCAATAAAACAATCCCAGATAGTACCTTTAAACTTGGTCAAGTTCTCCTCGTACCCATGAGGTTGTTTTCCTCCTTCTGTCCTTCTGTACTTCTCCTGTGGTCCATCGTACATCGCCTCCCTGGGGTCAAACCCCAGTCTATCCTTGTAATAAGCTTGTGTAGACATTTTTTCACTCAAACATCACAGCACACTGAACACTGAGCGGCTTCGCCAGCAACCGCACAAGAGCTCAAGGAATGTTTCGTTGCCGTTTTACACACTATACCTAAATAGGGCACTGAGTTATATTTACACGAGGGGTTGGGCTGCTGATGGAAACCGAGTTGAGAGACTTTATAATAATAGTATGGCACTGCGCGACTCGACTATCGCCGGACTACTGACAGCTTTGAACATGTGAAAGAAACAATCATGCGCTGACTTATGGATGGCCATGGTACTGGGACTGGGAGGATCAGGTGGGACGGTCATTAGCATGGGTAGGTGCGAATGGGCCCATTTGGGACGATTCCAGCTATGGGATCGATAGGTTAGCAGTGAACAGCCAAATTTGGCGAATAGACAATCGATAAAACAGGAATTTGTGAGTCCATTGAATGAGGTAAAACTTGCATACATCAGCAGTGTGTACTTAAAAAATTTACAAGTATTATTTGTTCCGAAGAATGCGAATGAGTGTGAAGAGCTAAATGCCAAATATTGGTAGAATTGCTTCGAGCGTTCTCATGATTCGTTTCTTCAGGAAAAACATATTGTCACAAATAATTATTTACTTTTTTAGTTTACAATAAAAAGTTAAGAAAGAACTGTAGAAGTGGTTTCTTAAAACACATCAATTTTAATCAAGTGGCTCTTAGTACATGCTTCATATTATTATGCCTGTGCTGCAACATTGCTCGGTACAAAACTATGTATGTGACCCAGATGTACAAAATTAATAAGAAACTACTAAAAGAAACGCCATTTCTGTGCAGAAATAAATTTAACAGTAAATTTATATAAAGTATGGAAAAGTTATTACTCCCTTGAAATGATTATGATGTAGATTAATCCAATTATAGAAACAGGATAAATAAAACAAAATGTTTCAATCGACTAGTTGCGTTCCCAATTGAACATCATCAGAATCGCTACAGAAAGAAGGGACAATAAATTGTTCTCTCTTTCTGTAGCGATCCTGATGATGTTCAATAGGGAACGAAAATATCGATTAAAACATTTTGTTTTATTTATACTGTCCCTGTAATTGAATTAATTTATATAAAGTGTTTGTAGTAATGCACTGTAAAAATGTGATTAAATCCAAATTTCTTGTCCATTTGTATACCAAAAACGTCTGCTTTTTTCATAAAAAAGTTATTGGATTTCATTAATTATTTATTTGAAAAACGTCACTAGGTATTTAGACAAATACGTTTCAATAAGAAAAATATTTCTAGTTTTGAGACTACAGAATTCGAATAATCCCAATGGAATTTGATTAATCCCAATGACCAATTCCTTTCATAACATACCCAATGAAATCGAAACCTCTTTCGTCACATTTTGCATTTCGATCGACCCACGAATTTCAGCTACCGTGGGTCGCAGAACAAGTTAGTGAAATCGAAACTTAAAAGTGCTTTTTCACCAGATTTGGACAAACGAATCTTAAGAAATGTCTTCATCGAGTTGGGTAAACATAAGACAGAACAATGAAAAGTGATTTATAGATGTTGTGCATCGGCACTCGTGTCACAGAGGTGACAAGTGCAGGAGGAGGTGCCCAAGGTGGCTACCTCCTGCGTGGGCAACAATCGAACCGACCTCTGCCCACCTAATTTGATACCAGACCATTTAGGGAAATGCTGCAGACCCGATATGTGCCAATAAACAATACGTCACTCGAGTGGGGTCAAAACTCAACAGTGGACCACAAGCAGAACCCTGCGGCACTCCAAGACCAGAGATTTAGTCGACTGGAAGTTCATTTAGGCAAAATGACGTAATAGTTGTGGTCAGGTGTTGTTATTATTATTTCTTTACTCTGAACTAATTAGCACAGCCCACAACATGTGACGTAAAATCATATTAAGGAAAGTGACAATATTAGCACCAAATGCAAAACTGACCAGTTGCAGTTGTTCCATTAGCGTGGGCACATTTATTTTAGTGGTATTTAAAACCCTAGTAGGTGTAGACTTTCTGAATGAGAATTTGGTAATATTTATTGAGACGCCCATGCGTTGTTGCGAGTTAATGATTGTTTTTCTTCATTACTAGATGTTTAATTTCAATTAATTTAATTAATGTTATTAAGCTTAAATCACAGCTTTGAACGCCCACCTGTTGATTGAGTCGCCATTAATAGTAAATTGATTAGAATGGAAGAGGAAAAACCTTCGTTTGCACATATGGAGGAGACACTTGCCTTTAAACGTCGAGAAACGTCATTAATAATTATGGCGTCTGAAATCATGTTTACAGAAAAATTGATGGATCATAAAATGTATCCGATTTTTTTTGGACAAGCTTAGTGAAGAAGAACTATAATTGATTCGATTTTTTTAATCCTGGATTAAAGTTCTACGAGTTCTACGCACGCCTAACTCGAATGTAATAAACGATGCATCACCACGAACTCGCGATGGTCGTACAGTTGTACATAATTCTTCACTAAAATGGTAAAATTACAACTTTTTCCTTAAACTCATAGGAAGTCTTTATTTAGATTTGTGGTCTATTGTCTTGTAACAATAGACCTGCGACAGATCCTTGTGGCACAAACCTTCTGATTTAATGTTGTTCGAGTCTTCACCTTGACACTTCTCGTGATAATCTAATAACTAGTGCATGTAAATTATGACACATAAAATATTATAAGATATTTATATGAAAAGAAGTAAACTGGTCAGTACCAAAGAAGGAAATAAAACAATTATTTTCAGTATAGTACGAGGAAAACGAGTTTAAATAAATAGGACGCGTGTAAACACTTCTAAATTTATTTAGATAAAGTGAAGTGCATTATGAAATCAAGGAAAATAAAAAGCAAAAATTACATTTTGAGAAGCGTGTAAGACAATTTTTGTAGTTCACTGAGTTAGAAAAAATGCCAAAAAACGGGTTTCCAGACTTAACAAAATAACGGACATTTCA